ATATCGTCGTTGTACAGAGATTCAATAAAAAACGTTTTTTTACTTTTTCGAAAATATAACTATCTTTCATCTGTCACATAGCAATGAGGTAAGACATCGCAAAACATATTTTAGTTCGTTATGAACTCAACTGCGGATATTTATCGTCGTATTTATAACTTTTTTCAATCTATTTTACCCCGTTAGATTTGATCTTAAAATTCAAACATTAGTTGTATGAAATGAAACTATGTACAAAATTGTAACTAAACGATAAATCCTGTAAGATTAAAAAAACGATAGTACGGGGAGTACAATATTTTTTGTCGGATGAAGAATATAATATTTCGAATATCGAAAGGGGTGTTGGTGGAATTAAAATCTATGTGGGTACATTGTCGAATCACTATAGTTTTATCGGTATATAATTATGCTGTTTAGCGAAAAACATTATCCGCCATATCTCTACGTAATATACCATCAGTGCCGTGAATCATGATCACTTACTGAGCGCACACATTCAAATGACATGCGTGCACGGCCCCTCACACGCACTTGGAAAATTGCCCACATCGAACTCTTCGGTGCATTATTTAGGTGTCCCCTTGAACCGGCACGATCTCTTTTTGAAATTTGAGTTGTTTGTGTGACCAAACGAACCGCGAGCGATACGAGGAGAAACCGCGCAAGATTTATTTTGAAAATAATGTTTATGCTGCAAAAACGTATGCACCAAAACAGTACTATACCTGCCACAATATAGCGTTATCGGATACCACGACCCGGGTATTATAGTTGGAAGTCTCTGCGTAGAGCGGCGATCGATATGCGATCGTATTATTATAACATAGGTAGTCGAGCTGGCAGTCGTGATTCAGGGACTGAAGTCGTGTACAGTACGACACACTTTGCGTAATAGCCATGGGTAGGTTCAAAATGTCAAATGTATAGTGCGAAAATGAAAAGGGTGGCCTGCAGTGACCGTATCATGAATATTCATTAATTTTTATGTTCCAAGTGTTGTCAGTGAACCTACGTAGTTTTTATGCAATTATTGCAACCGAAAAATCCGAAATTCAAGATTCTCAAAACGCTAACGATTTTAAGTTGAATGCAATTTTAAATTACTATCAAGCATTTAACCCGTTAACATTAATTATTAATATAATTAACGTTCGGACATTCCCTAAAATACCGACATAACGCCTGTCTACGGGAAATACAGCTTTTAACGCAAAGATGACAAATAACCAATTAAAAAGTAAATTATTTTAACTTTTTAGCAGATAACCATTTAGTTAATATACTAATCGACTTTCGAACACGACTATAGTTTATTTGACAATCCAAATAATTTAACTTTTCTCAGTTGATTTGAAAATATTTAGTCGAGTGAAAAAAAATTGAAATTTTTCATTTTTATGGTTTTATACGTAAAGATTAATATGAAAATAATACGATACTATAATAATATAAAATGTCTGTTATTTTTATTTTTATTTTTTGATAAAATAATTTTGTATAAAGAGATATTTTATTAGGTTAGATGATAGGCATAATATTCTCTAAATTGTTATTTGATATAAAAAAATTGATATTTCTTAAATTCTTAATATTGAATGTATATAGTTTAAAAATCACTTAAAGTAAAATATACACCTGTACATTATGCTAAGAGATCAATCAAATTGTTTATAACTGTCCATTATGATTTAGGAAATTAGAAAAAACGCTGTCACTTTTCGTGCGATCCACACGATATCAGTTTTAAAAAGTAGATCGACTTTTTTAGAACTCAGTTAACTCAATACTCGTTCCATAATTATTTTTAACTTTTCGAGTAAAATTTATGATTTGTTAACTTCTAACTTGTCGATGTTGTGTTCTCTTCACTTTACTTAACTCGAGTTAATTATTTTCATTGACTTGCCCATTGACCTCTGTCTGAACGGCACCTGCAGACTGACGTTTTGTTGGCGTTTATATTTTATCGTGATGTGTAGGTAATAATTGTAGCCTTTGAGACTTTTGAATAATATCATATTATTGTTATGGTCCGCATTCGCATTTGCGGGTACTAGGTACGCTGGTATACGTATGCGGTTATTACGGTTACCTGGCTAGAATAAACGCGGTCTATAATCCTTATTCCTTTCACACCATTTCGTTATAGTGTGGACAATGAAATGGGAATAGCACGTGCGTTATACATATTGTTATTTAGACGCCTATTGCCTTTATGTAGGCGTAATGTTACATTATAATATTATATTGTGCCGCAGTAGGCAGTAATATTATTGCATATTTTCGTTGTTCGTGTTTACACAAGTGTTATGTCGTACAGGTGGATAGTATTATTGTAACGATCCAATAATGTATTACTGTCCATTAAAAATATTTATGGTTCAGTGTACTTACACGTCATATTCTAGGTCGCAACTGGAAAATTATTCAGGGGAGTTGATTGTTTTTTTGAAATGCGTTTTTATTAGTAAAATTATGTACCCATTATGATAATATTGTTATTTGCAGTTAATAATATAATTAAAATATTATGCTGTCGGCATTTCTAAAGTCTGAAATTAAACAACTGTATTTTAAAACTGAGAAAATTTAATGGGCACTCGTTAAATGTAGGTACTAAGCTGACTATAAATTGTTCGATAAATTTTGCTATAAAATTGAGACAATATCAATATAGTATATTTTAATCCATGTTCGAAGTGTAATGTATCATATTTATGATAACAAATGGCATTATTGGCTTATTAATTAGTTACAATATCTTAATAACAGACACAGCTGCAGTATGAAATGACCAAGTCGTTAATGTGCACGTTGTAATGTTTCGCCTATACGAGCATAATACGAGTAAATAGAATTATTTAATATTAGATAGTATATCGCAAACGTTTGATCGCTTCGGATGATCGATTTTAACTCTTGAAGAATGGGGGTGCCTTCCAATAGTAATAATAATAATTACGACCGTTTGCGATATTAAACAGAACAATTATGGGTAACATTTGATATCTGGAACGCGGTCAAAGATCAAGACACTATATATATTAAGATACACATCAGCTGCGATACCGAAAAACTAGATTGCGTGAGTAATGTATAATAAGCACGCGGTTTCTATATTCTTAAGTCTAATATCCCACGCGCGTGAGGTACATGTGAGTTTTTTTTTAAAAATATATTCAACTCTTCGGGCAACAAATCCTGTTTTTCCCATATTTTAAACTCCACGATAAACTGCATAATAATACAATATAAATTGTATATTGAGTGTGTGCGTCGTAGGTTATGTTCCTAACTCGTGACAATAATAATATTATTATGCCACTACTGGCCTCGGTGAAATTATTATATTAACCCAGAATCTATAACAATTAGGTGCATTTAGGTAATTATTTTTATCATAACATAAGAGTATGTACCTAATCCGTAGGTGAAATAAGAATTTGTGAAATTCAGTACAACTGAGGCAAACGTAGAGGCTCGGCATAGAACACAACACGACCTCTACAACTGATGATATATGTCTAAAATGTGTTTTATAATGATACAAAAATTTCCATTGAATTTAAGAGCGTTATTCGGCGTACACCGTTACGATGTGCACTATAATAATATGTAATAACTATTACCTACTGCCAATCCGAATTTTTTTGTCGAGTAGCAACCACAGACCACAGACCACAATACCCTGGAAAAATAATTTTAAGTATATTTATATAATATTAGATGTTGATTATTAGTAGTAGCAACATTTGTTGGGCTTCGCATATTTTATTTTATATTTTTAATGCCACTGGGGTTTCATTAAAAAATTAATATTAATAAATAACTCGTTCTGAAACTAACCAGTGGCTAAATTTGTGTAGGTATAATATAATATGGCGACGTTATTAGGCCAAGTAAGATTGAGTACTTAAAATGCTGAAAACTGTTAACAATGTTAATAGTGAAAACGTGATTAATTATTTCGATACAGAAAAAAACGTGTAGGTAATGTAATGATCGAAATTGTGTAATCGTCGTTTGTTAAACCGTTTTAAAATACAACAATTTCTATAGTCTTATTATAATATTTACAGATATTATCCAATTTCAACGATTGCCAATAACCAATGACCGACCTATGGTATTTCCTGAGGTTAGCGTGTTTAACTTTTTTGGCTTAAACTGTTTTAAAAAATTGTCCGCGCAGATTCGTGCAACAATCATTCTGTTCGAGTCCGACAAAATACATAAAATATAATATGTTTACAAGACAAGCGATGCTGGTGAGTTCTTGCACAACTTCTACATAATGAAGTGTTATATTTTGTGAACTCAATGTATTAGGTAAATGAAAAATCATCAGAGAAGAACAATGACACAAACATGAAATGTGTAACACTTTTTAATAATGGGAATTTAAATACGAGCATTATATTGAAATAACTATTCTGATTATATAATGAAATATTTATTAAAAATTTTGATAAAACTGCTCTAAATAGATTTTAGTTTTTACTAAGTAATTATCATTATTACATTGTTCATATTATTCAAAGGGCAGGTAATCAAAACTTAATAAGAACAAAACTTGTAGTTGCCTACTAAAAATCAAGTTGGCAAAAAACATATTTATGTGTAGATATTGTTACTAAATAAATAGAATTTTCTACTTATAAAGTTATATAATTTAAATCACTTATTATTACAAGACGTATAAGAATGAATGCTTATTTTAAAATGTCATTTAAACAATAACAATTACCATAGTCTAAAATCCGATGAAAAACATAAGCAACAAACGAAATTGTATGAATTGTTCTTTTCAGGCGTTAGAATAAAAATTGTAAGAATTTTTTTAATCACCAAATAATGTATGTTTTTATATGTAGTTTCAATATTTTTGTACAACCATTCGTTTTTCTAGGTAAAATTAAAATTGTACTATTCCGAAGACTTCATCAATAATTCATTTAAGATTTCAGTTACTTTATATTAAACTATAATAAATATTTATAGACTGACAATACTTAAATATATTAAATTTGAATAAAATAATAATTTCACAACAAGATGTATCAATATTAGAACGTTTAAAGACCTATGTATATAGGCACTTCAGTCAAGTACCCAAATCTTTATATATAACGTTATTCATTATAATTTATTTATATACAAGTAACGTCTTGAATATAATAGTATTATCAAATGTATATAACTAAGTAAAAAATTATGCTCTCCAAGCTCTAAGATCCAACTTTGATAATTTTCTTGTGCATTTTATCATTGGTGAATATCTGTAACAGGCAATAATATTAACAATTGGTTTAATACATATAATTATGTAAACATGAAATTAGAGATAAAATTAAATAAATATACGTATATATTACGCAACATTGGTGAAGTATTAACAAATTTGTTTTTGTTGGCCTGTGGGAAGTATGATTATAATGAATAATTTTTAAAGCACTTATAAGGTTACATAAGCTACTGCAAAATAAATGAATGATAATCACGAATATAAAATAAATACACTGTTGTTAACACAAAGTCTGAGAATAATCACCAGTATGTATCAAGGATATTTAAAATTTTAAACCCTATAGAAAATAATCACAAAAAAATTGTAACAAATAATTTATCACCACAAAAAAAAATTCTAATTTTGGATGGAAACATGAAAAACTTCTTTTATACCCACCCCCACCGCCATGTTCGCATTTGTTTGTGTGTGCATTATTATACTTCAAAAATATCAGATATTTAGTTAAGGTTCTTAGCTAACGGGCATAATATTGTACGAGTTAAAAGAAACGGAGTCTTTAAAATAAAATACATCAGCCATTGCAGCATGGATGAAAAGAAAAGACTCGATTCAAAAAAAAAAAACTGGGGCAGAATATATTTCTTGCTGTAGGTGCCTACATGGACGCGTTATGCATAGTAAAACTAAAAATAAATATTTACTTTGATGACTTGAAAATATTCATTGGTACTTCATTCAATTCGGTCGTGGCACATAACACATGACCTAGGTCGATTTTTTCCAAAGTTCTCAGTTGTGCTAACATCATAAACAAATATAATATAGCGATGTTAATGATATTCATAAATTAAACAAATTGCGTCTGCACATACCTAGAGAATAGCTTCCCGGTTGACCTCTGACATCATAAAAGAAACGATCGCCGAATCGAACACGGTAAAATACATCAGCTAAGATGCACTGTGCAGTTTGACCAACCGTTCCGCCATCCACAGGTGGTTCCAGTAAAGCTCCCACGAGAAGATCAACGTCATAAACTGAACGGTACTGTGCTTTCAGTGATTCGACGTCCTATGACCATGATTAATACAATAGATGACAATTCAATACATGTTGAGAGTTTAGTTAAGATCAAGTTTAATTTGATAACACATTGATTTATGATGTAAATATAGGTTTAATAGGTAAATATAGGTAAACTACCTACATATAGGTTGAAAATAATGAAAAAAAGCTTCTAGTATTAAGAGTCTGCATGGCATTGCAATCTACATATTTGTGTGATTTAATAATTTTTTTTTTTAAATTATAATAGTAATATGCTATTAGTAATTACCTATAGTAGTAACTATTAATTAAAAAATTAGATGAGAACCAAATTTTTAATTTTCATATATTCATACGTCTTAATGATTAAGTCAACTGTTTTTGAGAGTAAAAATATCGACTTACGTAATTTGGCATAATATTTAATAAATCGTCAAATGAATTGACTTCTGGAAAACCACACAATTTTCTTACAACAGTATAGGGTGGTATGCCGACATCGCGACCTCTTTGAATATCGACTGACAGCAAATCTTCGTTACCAGTGATGTGTGTGGTGAACATTAAATTTGATATCTATAACATGTTAAAAAATTTATGATGTAAAAAAAAATGCTCATAGTAATTGTAATAAATAAAATAAATGTATGGAAATATGAATGTGTTTCTCCATCGATTGAACTTTATAATAACTGTGCCGTAGCCTATCCCGAACGTTATAAATGATAGATGTACTTATGTTCATAGATAGGTACTGATTTTTATTTAAGTATAGCTTAAAAGTTTAGGTTAGTCATGATGATTGCACATGCATTTTTTCTCGTATTTGTTCATTGAACAATCTTATTGGTCTCTGTCTTTTCATTTGGGAAGGTTATACTGACACATTACTAGGTACCCATTTCTCTAAAAAGAGAATTTTCACTCTCAGTGGCGAAGCAGGGTAAAGCAATCTAAACGAAGACAGTATACAATAGTAATTTAACGATATAAATGTGGATTTATCGATATCTACGTTTGTTGGTACACTTAATCGTTCACTGTTCAACATCCAGCTGCAATCTGTTGTCACAACAATTGTTTTAAAGAATATTTTTAAATGTCTAATAATATTGTGCTTACCTATAGTATAATTTCGATATTTTTGAAATTGCTACCAAAACAACTTATTGTTATGAAAAATCTTGTATTAAATATACAAGTTTTTTTACCTTTATCCGGATATTTAGTCTAGAGTATCTTTTTATTGTATCGAGTATATCGCAAGTTAAAATTATTTTTGACAATAATGACGTATGTTTTTTAAAATATTAATTAATAATTTCATGAACCCCAAGATAAGGTTGGGCGTATACCACTCAAGCCCTGCTGATAATTAATCATATAAATTGCTTTATTTTTTTACATATTTATAATAGATCATATTAATGTATTATTATTTGTTATGAATGAAATAAAAATAAATGTTTAAAACAATACTATAAATTTTGCAAATTAATATTATATTTTTTCAATATACATACCTAACTGTCTATAAATAATTTTAATAAAAACAATTTTTTTTTAGAATCTTAATAGTTGATAAAATTAGGTGCCTAGTTTTGCAAGTGTAAGACGGAGATAACAAATTCCAGCGTTGCGTCCTCTTAAAAGTTTTAAAAATTCAAAAGCAAACAAATTTTTGAGCTCAACATTTTGGCGTTCCCAAAATATTAGAGCCCGGGGTAGTTGTCACCATTTCCCATCCCCCCTCCCACTAAATGCAACACTGACTATTGTATAAACAATAACCAACTATTGTAATATCGATGTATATAAATTATTTTAAATTGAATATAATATAGTAGTTGGTGCTAAATTTATATTTCTAATAAGTATGTAAAAAGAAAATATTCATAAATAGTACGTACAAAATAGTTAAACGACGGTGTAAACAAACGGCCTGCATTTGTAGACATGCCTCTGACTATTTGGTCAAATTTATTACCCCTTACTAAGGGATCAGGTTTCGACATCCATTCGTGAAATTTAACTGAATCCACTATTTTATAATTTTTATTTATGTACCTGTTAAAAGAAAAATAGTAAATGATACTATACTTTCACTATAAATAGGTATGGTTTACTCGTATGTCGAAGGCAGTGTATTATGTGGCACTCGGAAAGCACCGCCAGCAAATTCCGTGGTCAGTTGCGGCATGAGTGAAGAGTTGTATCGTGTTCTTTTAGTCTTACTAATATACAAACCAACGCGTTCGGTGAATGATTGACCTGTGCAAATTGTATAAGGAACATTAATTTTTGTTTTGTATTTTAAATAGCAATAGTTAAAATTATACACACAATTTATTACAAACAACAATAGGACGGCGTAGTTATCTATATGTATTATAATAATCGATGGTTAGACTTATATAATAAATATATAACACTTTCAATCAATTTATTATTTGTGTACGAATTTTTTTTATTAATATATCAAAGCTACGTTATTAGAAAAACATTAAGAAACATATTAGTAGTATTGACGAATAAATAATTTAAAATGAACAAAATCTCGAATTGGAACATTGGGAATATTACAAAGTCGTACAATAAGTAGGTACCCACTAAACAATTAGCAGAGCTTATAACAAAATCGTTTTCTGGTATCGATGATTTGCTTTTCAGTTATATTTAGAATATTTCAAAAAAATAAATACCAAGTAGAATGGGTAGATAATCCCGATAAACAATTATCTGGTTGAGTGCACCAACGAACTTTCTAGCTTCTTGATACAACACTTCATCAGACCATTGAGGATTTATTTTTTGTAACTTATCAGCCACAATATTATGAAACCGGGTAAACATTGTGGTATACGCTGTGAGTCCAAAGTGTTGATTTAATCTTGGGTCTCCTGCAAATAAATGTAAGTAATACATTGTAAACAATCACAATAATAGTATATATTATTTTAATTATTTTAATCAATAGATTTTATAATACACACAATCTATAATTTAATAAATGAAAAGTCGTTTTTACTTAATTTTTGTTTATAAGCGTTTATATATAAGCGGAAAAAATTTAGCTAACTAATAGTAACTAGATAATATTATTGCCCATTGATTTTTAGTACAACTTTGAACATTCTAGGTGGCAGGGCTTTGCGCCCGAATTAACCGAAACCCCTAACGCCCCTAAAAACCCTTAAAAAATCAAACCCGAACTCATATACCCAAATTATTTTGATTTCTAAACACCCAAATTAACCAAAACCAGAATATTTTATTCTGTTTAACTAGAAACCCGAATAATTTTGTTTTTTACAATCTTCATGTGATATAACATTTTGTATGTATTTCTTGTGATTGAGCAATGACAATTTTACAATCAATGATTGGTACATTTAATAAATATTTTCTTAAAAATAAAATCCAATGCAACCAATAATAATTGATTCTGATTAAGCCAAATCGCCTGATACTAAATTATTTCTTATAATATATATCAATATGATATATTAAATATAATATCTAATTTATTACTTTATTAGTATAGCTATATACATTATGTGTAAAATAAATCCAAACATGGCCAATAGCAATATAAACAGAACAACGTATTGACACGTGACCAAATAGTAATAAGTAATAATACCCATAGTTTATTAATACTTAGCATTATTTGCCATCCAACTTCTCAAGTGGTATTATTATAATTTAGTAACGAATATCGTGATTCGTAATTTAATATAACAATAATGATCATTAATTAATTTGATAATAAAATATATGCTATAGTTATTGTAACCCGAATATATTACCAGCTTCAAAACAAACTCCCACGTTATCCCGATCATCACATATTAATGATCCATATCTTTTTTTCTGAGGACAAAACTCGTGTCCATTTATAATATCTGTTTTCAATTTTCCACCATAAAACGATCTAATTGATGCTGCCGTATCTGGTTTGTGTCCGTATAATTGTGAAGCGTCAAAGAATGAGGTCGCTTGATTCACCTGTGAAATAATTATAAAATATAGTGTTGCGGGATATGAATTCCAAGAATTCATAAACCAACTATAACGAATAGATAGAATAAATAAAATACAAACGATTAATATTAGTCACCTTGTACAGTTTATAAGCTAAGATTCACATACTACTGGAGGGTTCTCGATGACCATCAATTAGTTTTGCATTCCCATTCGACGACCACAGTCAAAAGACACCAACCAGTCCAAACAACGGATCAGACGTTTGCAAACATTGCAAAACTCTCTATCTTTGTCATCCATAACCGAACACCACGTGCAAGTGAATTTATTCGTTCTATTTATACCAATTTTGATAACCACTGGGAAAATGGCGAAATAAATATCATGATGAAATATAGAGATGGACTTCCTTGCATTGAGCCGATCTCTCCTTCACCTTAAGCATCACGCCCTCATTCTTCCGTCAACCAATCAAGAAACTAGTGCAGTCAGCTTTAAACTCTTTTCTATTCGATTTGAATAACTTCATAACTATTATTTTAAACATGTCGTTGATTAAAATGTTAACAACAATTACTTGCATATTAATACTAATGGTTTTAAATTAAAAAATTTTCTCATGTCTTCAAAAATGATTATCATATCAACACAACAGGCAGTAGAGCTTTAAAATTATTATGCTTTATAAAAGCAATACTAGACACTTTAAGTCCATCGCTTGTCTTCGTTCCCTCAACTTTTCTTTGGTCCGCTTTATCTTAGAACAGCGTTTCTCAACCTGTGGTTACCACAGTCTACCCCTGGTGGTACATAAGAAGGTATGAGGAGGCATGTGAAAAAAGAACGTAATGGCGGAAAAAATTTAACTTAATTTAATTTTAAATGGCTTGTAATTTGTGAAATATTTAATAATGTGGCACAGGATACTGGATTTTACCTAATAGGGTTACGTAAAGTTCAATATAATTTCGAATCTGCAGTTGTATTAGTACGAGAAAAAGAAAAACTTATTGAACTGAAGACGAATTCTTCACTTGAGGTAATATTTGAAAAAAAAATCTCTCATCACTTTTTGGGCTGACGTAGAAGAAGAGAATATCCTGAGCTTTCATACAAAGCATTTAATGTTCTGCTGCAGTTCACGAGTACTGTATTGATAGAGAGGGCTTTTTCGTCGCACACGTACATTAAAAATAAGTATCGTTATAGACTCTCTGTGAGTTCAGATTTACGAGTTTACTTATCATCCGAGGAGCCAGATTTCAAAAAATTATATGCCAGCTAACAAGCCCTCATTAAAATGAAATTGTAAAGCTTATATTACTCATATATATATGTGTATACATACATTGTATGGCGCATGCTAATTAAATTCATTAATAAATATTTCCAAATTTTCCATCATCGAAATTATTTCACAATATCTTATTTATGTTGTGTGTGAATATACGATAAACTGACATTGGGGGTACGTAAAACAGTGGTGAGAGGTCAAGGGGTACGTAAATGAAAAAAGGTTGAGAAATGCTGTCATAGAATATGGTATAGTAGCATCCATATTTAGCCAAGGACCAACTCGTATTGAACGGGTTCAAAGCCGATTTCTTTAGTACGCTGCTTTTGTTTTTAATATTACTCTCCCACCTCATGACTACCCTTCAATTGACTCATCTATACATGTTCTTAGGTACTCTTACCACACGTCATATTGCTGCTGACAATTATTTTGTCACCTCTTTACTAAATGGCTTAATTGATGCTCTTGATCTTCTGTCTTCTATCACTTATCAAGTCCCTATCTATGCAAAAGACCACTCATTGTTCTAAATTTCCCTTCTTACCTTATGAACTACTAATACCATAAACACGGAATGCCACGTTTTCACAAATCACTTTGACACTATTATTTCATTTAATATACCATGAGCATCTATCCTCTTCAATGTAGAATCTACATTGACACAATAACTTGTAATTTATGTGCAAAATACTGTTCTGTTTTGTTTTTTTCTTCCTTTTTAAAGTTTTTATTCTCACTATGACTGTTATTATAACTAATTTATCTAATTTTGCTACTGTTCACTCACACTGTGCATCTATTCTCATTACAATTGTGTAATTGTAAATGTTTACCAAACTTTTAAGTTGCTGGATTGTTCTTAATTAATTAAATAAAAATCACCAGGTGTCATTAAAAACTTTAAAAAGCTAGTTATTGGGTACTAAGTAAGCACTAACAGGTCAAAATGTTGTAAATCTTAAATTTTAAACTTGTATGTTCTATATTTACGATACTATTGTAGTTAACCATTGTCTTTAATTAATTCCTAATATGGCGTCAATATAATAAATTAAGTATTAAAAATTAATACTCACTGGAGTTTGAGGAGTTACAGGGCAGTTAAAATTATTAGCAGCCGTCATTGCACGCCTAAATTCCATACATGTTTGTCCATAATTACTAAGAACTGGGTCATTGGTAGGTATTTCAATAGCTAATTGACATTGGTATGGGCTATTACTGTTGATCTCATAAATCGGAATGGAACAACATCTTTCTGGCCCTATTCACATTATCAACAACAACTTTGTTAATTATATTTTGTATTTTGAAGTAAGTAAGTAAACTAACCTACCTAACTAGCCCTAACTATACGTTTTACCTTACGTACGTTTGTGTATTTTTACCTGATTTATCGGGTGGCATAAGACTGATGTCATGATTGGTCCATTGGCCAAATTGACTTAGATGATAATTGTTAGAGTCACTGTAATCCGTGGATTTTTGTAAAAACATTTTTAACTGTAATTGACGAGGTCTAGGCAACCGAGAACCATCCACTTGTCTACGAACTTCATAATCGCCTTATAAACATATTATATTATGAATATAATAATAATATATTATCTAATTTATGAAATATTATATACTATGAAACAAATTTAAATCATACTTTTAACATTGACAAATAGTTATATACAATACACATTATACATATATATTTTACTACTAGGCAGTAGAAACTATAGGCAGTGATGTGGTTTAAAAAAAAATAAAATGTTTAAGTACACGACTAAATCATTAATAGAAAAATCTATTTATTTTTCTACATGATATACAATAGTACCTAGTAAATTATGTTAAAAACATAATATGGTAAAACAAAAACTGTAAAAAACTTTTAAGTTTTAAGCCTTTTAATTTTAATAGTTTTAGTTTAACAACCTAATATTGTTTTAATTATTTTTTTTATTGTTGAATGTGTCTCTTAGCGTGTTTGATAAAAATGTAAGAAAAAAGTCAGATAAATTTCATTTGGATGTTATCACTAAAAAATTTCAAAAGTACACTTTTTTCAAAATGCGTGAAAACTTCAAAATTAACTGTGAAAGGTTACTTTATTACTACTTTAGTAAGTAGTAACTACTATCACTGGTTAGAGGTGAAAAATAAATCCAAGTACCTTTACTAAAAATTTTAGTTTTTTTAACTTATAAAACTATCAAACTATGACATTTTTATAACTCATATAATAATATTTTAAAATCAGTGTTACATTTGTCATTTATCTAAGAATCAAATTCTAATTCCAGCTATCCAATAGAAGTACCAATATATAAAAACACATTTACACATCCACGTGAGAATATTAGAAGCCATATCTTATCTCTATTCATAATATTAGTTTTGGATACTTCTCATTTGTAATGTTTTATTAATTTGACCTTTCCAAACTCACCATCATTATAAGCAGCTTCAGTAAGTCTGATGTATGGGGTTTCAGACGACCCCCACAATGGATTCTTTAAATTATTACATGTGCCATCCGCTGTCCTGTAAATGGCACCTCGATTGCAGGTAACTCTGGGTGCACACTCTTTATAATATATGTTGTTTGAATCAGGACCATCTCCGTCAAAGAGCACAGGGTTCTCGATGTTCTCATTTTTAATCTAGTGGTTGAATATCGAAAAGTTAAGATAATCAAATAGATTTTCTGGTATCACATTAAGTGTATTATTATATGATTATTAGGGTTGCAATATAATTCATTAATTTAAATTCAAATCCCAGTTAAAATTGAGTGATATATATATAGGTAATGTTAAAACGCTGACAAAAATTATAAATAATAATTTAAAAAGAGTAGGTAAAAATATAAAATTTGCCTTGTCTGTACCTACTGAATAAATGACCCAACTTCAGCCGGAAAAAATTAACTACCTACCTAGTATAAAATACATTACTTGATGTAATTTTGTAAAGACTGCATTAGAAATCTGTTAAATTCTAAACTTATGAAACCTGAAAGAATCAAACAAAATTTTGTTCTAAGAACAAAAATTCATGTGTGAGCCACTTTTTGAGGGTCGAATTTCACTGAAAAAATAAATCTATGGCACACTCAACGAGTCTAATGATACAACATTTTATTGAATTCGGTCCAGTAATTTTGAAGATAAGATATTATTTTGCTAAATTTCAAATGTATACAGTCAGATCATTTATTTTACTTTTTTCACTTCTATAATTTCCTAATAATTTCTGAAAAAAATTATTTTAGCACTAGCTCTTGAGTATAGATTTAGTCAAGGCATTTTTTGTTTTTAATTGATTATATATTTAAATCAATGTATTCATTATGTATTAATTATTACTTACTCGAATACTTGATGAAGTTCCAAACACTGATATGACACATAACCATACCAACAAATAGAACATCCTCGTACAGACGAATTTATAACTTAAAAATAGAGAAAATGTGCTTATTAAACATTTTTCGTTTGACATAATGTTTGCTCACTACATATAGTAAGTATAATAAGTAAAATATACTAATACAATTTAATTTATAAGATGCTGTGATTTAACTATTTAAGTATGATAAAGTAATGAGTTCATTTCTTTAACTCACAGTTTTTTGATAGCTAAAGCGCACTGTTCAGGAGTGAGAGTGATGGAAAGGTTAATCTATCACCCAACCCCTCCCTTCCCCGTACATACACACATACACGCACACACACATAAATCTTCAAAAGTCTCTATACATACGTTGTAAAACGTGAAAAAAGTGGGTATTCATTTTTATTTAAAAATGTACTAAAACCGGATGGATAAGAACAAACGATCTAAAGAAATATTTAACATAACACAAACATTAGTTTTCGGAGATTTGTTCAGTCGAAATTCCTAAAATATTCGTTATGGCACTCTATAAGCACAAATATAATATAAAGTTGTATCAATAACATAATATCATGATTTAAAATTTTGTTTTGTAACCACTGCAGTCCATAATAATCATTTAACAAATTCATGTAATTTTAATACTGTTATTATTGTCGATAAACGATACAGTTTGAATATTTCTTCTTGCTAAAGTCTCTCTAAAAGTTTTTCCCACTTTTATCAATACAATCAGTGTTATTCCCCAAAATATTTATTTCAGTTACGATAATGTGAGTTTATTTTAAGACATGTGGTTACAGATTTTATTATATTATAATATTAGTATAATATGTTACCAGATAACACTTCAGTGTTAGTGTGACGATACCATTTTTAACCTATTTCATGTCAGTTGATAATATTAATTATTCAATGAAACATAAATCTTATTTTTTTTAGAAAAAAATCTATATTAAACAAAACGGTTTTAATAAAATCTATAAATATTAAACTCTAAAATAAAATGAGCTTCACTCAGAATCAAACGGTTTTTACGTTTTTTTTTAAGAAAAAAATAAATACTTACTTAAGGATAAGACACACAGTTTTTAGTTAAAAATAAATAATACAAAAATAACACTGTATTATCTAGATTAATATATTAGAGAGTTTGAATGTAAAAATAATGCAACTTACCTCTGCTTAGTTTTAATATACCTACTCTTAAAGTAGCAACTATCGCATACCTCGATAGTTCAAAATAGAATAATGATAATTATTCACAAACAATATCAGCATATGTTTAAACAAATATTTTGCACATGTCGATCATGCGAGTATGTCATGAGCATGTATATAATTACATTTAACAAGTGTTTTAGTTAATGTCAATTCTCTGGTAAATAATAATTATAACCTCTGTGATTAATTCGTAAGCACTGCTGTAAAATCAGGAGAAAATTGATAGAACAAAAATAACTCCTCTTTAAATTGTGATACAAAGAGGCTAAAAATATCATTTTTACAACTATATTTTCACCACCAAGGCACCACACTCAGCAGTTTTAAATTTGAATTGTTTAATTATTAAACTTTAATATAATCAGCGTTCTTCATAAAACTAAAAGTGTACCTACAGCAAGTAATTTGTCTTAAGAAAATAAAAAAATATATATAATTTATAAACATTATTGGAGAGTTACTCAATTTACATTACAAGTTACTGTGACGAAATTGTTTTTTGAGTAATACGATGGTAATTTAATTACATTGCATTATAAGTAATTTATAGATACCTAATAAAAATAAGTAAGTATAATAAGTAACTATATTTGTACATACACCCAAACACTCATTAATCGACATCAAACATAAACAGCATAAATTACAAATAATATACTGCTATTTTACTATACTAGCAGGGTAAATGACTAGAAGATATTTATACACATCTACATTTCACACAGAGGCATGGCGATTTTCCGTGGGATAGCATACTATGCCTATTTGACATGCCTCGCAGCATCAGAAACCCGAAAAATCAGGTATCTGGCACATTATATTATGCAACCAACAGCCATAGCTACCACTAAATCTTAACCCAACCAGCCACCGGCCCTTAAGAACCTCAGAGACGACCACCTCGGAATGGCCATCGAATAAGTTTCGCGAAGCATGTAATTCGACAGGCACGCGTTTTTCAAATCGCTAACAGACCGTAACGATGTATATAAAACATAAGAAGATTAACATATTATATTATGCTAAATTAGGTGTCCTAATATGTTTTGAGTAAAATGTGTAGACTATAAGTAAATGTGAGACCTAGTCAATATCTATTGTTTTAATCCGCAGTTTAAATTTATATTTAAATGTATCCCAAAATAATTGAAAATATTATCTAAATTGATAATTTAACATAGTAAAATCCCAAATTAAATTTTTACCAAACCATGGCTTGAAAATATATAAATGTATAAAAATATTAAAAATATATTTTACATGTTAGTACATAATATTCATTTTATTTATTTATAATTTTAAATTATAGCTCATTCCTCTACAGGTAACGTCTCACATGTTATAACGAATAATATTAATAATCAATATGCATCCATTAAACCAGTGGTTCCAGAACTTTTTTTTCGGCGGTGACCTTTTTTGGACGAAATTCAGACACGGTGCCCTACAGAAAATATCTCGAAAAAAAATACATAAAAAACACTTGTTTTTATTGATGATCAGTTTTTATAATTTAACTGAATACAAAGCATTTAACCGAGATAAAATAATGAATACATTTTTATATTTAAAAACCAAAAAAAATATTATGAACGTAAATAAAATAACATTGCTAATGAGATGTATGTGTTGGAAAAGCTTGGCGATGCAAGGTTTTATTTTTGACAGTTCAGGTTCTGCGTTGAGGCAGTTGCGGTTTTTAAGCTGAAAATCCTGATTCACATAAATATGTAATGACAAATGATAGTAATGTTTTCACCTTTTCGCTTATAGCCAGAATGATATGATTAGGTCAAAAAAGGACATAAAAGGACATAAAAGGTACTATTCGGAAACATCACTTCCCCCATATGACTTCATCTAATAATTTTAATAGAAAATAATAAGATTATAAGATGAAGAGAAATTGTGAGTATTATTGTATCGCAATTTACGTGGTTATTATTAAGTCCTAATCGGAATACAAAAAATAATTTTGTTTAGAAGATTCAATTTGAAATTAACAAAAATAACAATAAATTGTAAATATTTTTTTGTGAGTCATGGTGCCCTCGAATAGTACTCTCGGTGCACGGTTTGGGAACAGTTGTGTTAAACTATGGAGATTCTCTCCAAGCACTAAGATCAAAGTCTGATAAATAATCTTGGCATTTCACCATTTGAGCATTTCTGTAACATACAATAATTAACAATCAGTATTTTTTTCCTCAAAAAAAAAAAAAAGGAAAAAAAATCAAAAAGTTAAAGTAATAAAAATAATAAAAATAAATTAACTTAAGTAATATTTAAAACACATGCATATGCACTAAAAACTAATTAAAAGGTCAAATCAAATACAAGAGAACAAATATATATATACGAAAAATTAAAATAATATACTCCATTCGCGTTAAGAAGGAAACCCCAGCGGTGACCAGTTTTCGTTGGGAGCGGGTCAAACCTCCGTTTGTTACCCCCACCAAGTCAAACATCAATCTGCTATTCACGCCCCTGCGCTCAAATCGGACGCCGAGGTTCTTCCTTAACTCGAATGGAGTATAAACAAAGAAACATTAAATATTTTTCTTACTGTACATAGCGAATCCCACTAAAAATATATATTTACCTTGATGGCTCAAAAATATTATTTGGTACTTCATCCAATTTAGTTGTGGCACATATTATGAGACCTAGGTTGAATTGTTTCAACTTATCCAATTGTGCTAACATCATAAACAAATATAATATATCAATGTTATTGATATTCATAAATTAAACCATAAGCCTAAAAAAAAATATCAACAACAATAAATTGCATCTGCACACACCTTCAGAATAGCTTCCCGGTTGACCTCTGACATCAAAAAAGAAACGATCGCAGAAGCGAACACGGTGAAATACATCAGCTATGATGCACTGTGCGGTTGGACCAACCGTTCCACCATCCACTGGTGGTTCGAGTAATGCTCCCACGAGTAGATCAATGTCTTTAACGGAAACGTACAGTTCTTTCAGTTTATCTAAGTCCTATAACCACGATTGATAATTATTACAATTCAATACAAATTTAGAACCATGTAAAAATCAAGTATTTGATAATACATTAACTTACGATGGAAATCATCGTACAACATCTCATGGTTTTAAAATAATTTAATTATAATAATCAAATAAAACCACTTTTGGTATTATAAATATTTAGCAAGTTTAAGCACTTAAGCAGTCTTAGGTGATTATAATGTAATAATAGTAAGTATCTATTTAGAAAATCAGACGAGAACTACATTTTTTATTTTTTTATTTTCTAACTTCTTGATTTACAACATGTTATTATTAATCCAACATCGTTTTTGAAAGAAAATCTATCGACTTACGTCTTTTGATACAAAACTTGATAATTCTTCAAATGAACAGATTTCTGGTAAACCACACCATTCTCTCATCTTAATATAACTCGGTAAGCCGACATCACGACCTCTCTGAATGTCCACTGAAAGTAAATCTGTATCACCATTTTTATGATTATGGAACATAAAATTTGATATCTATAACAATAAGTTTAAATATTCATATTGTAAAAAAAAAAATGTTGATCTAAGATTGTTCTCTACCCGTCGAAGTATAAAATAACTGAGTCCTAGCGTATGCATATCGTTTTTAAATATAGACTTGAGTGCCACCTGACCACTTTACAATTCACGAATAAAGCAGAGAAAATATGAGATCCGAATACTAATGGTTAGTGTGTGTTATTCCACGACAACATAAGAAGTGATTGGATAATAAATAATAATCATAATACGATATAAAACTGATCGAAGTGGAAATTAATTGAAGTCTTCAATGATTATACACTTTCCAATACATTTTAGGTACTGTGAAATAAGTATCTGTATAGGTAATTATCAAACTAATATTAAATTAATTTGAAGTACTATAAAGAATATAAATATATAATATTGAAAAAGTACAACACGAATAAATTTTTTTATAGTACCTTAAGTACAATTGGTGAAATCTGATGAAAATTATTGAAATTAGTACTAGGGCACTTTACTCAAATACTTTCAAACACTATCTGAATACAATATATTTGTTTTAGAACCCTGACTAAGACCAATCACCGAGCCACGCCGGACCCCATACAACGTATTGCATTATGATATTATGTATTAGCATAATTGCATCGCTTTACATATATTTTATATTATAAATTATTATAATATTATAGTTTATAAAATATCATTACCATTATTAATAACTATGAGGACTATTTGAGAATAGTAGGTAGGTACTTACTAAATAGTTATACGACGGGGCATGGAAACGGCCTGCTGATGTAGTCATACCTCTGACTATTTCGTCAAATTTTGAATCCTTTACTAAGGGATCAGGTTTCGACATCCATTCGTTAAGTTTGACTGAATCCACTATCTCATAATCTTTGTCTACGTAACTGTCAATACAATTATATTATAAATACAATACATAATAATAACAATTCACATTTCGCCAAAAATACGAATGGTTTACTTGTAATACGAAGCCACTGTTGTATGTGGCACTCGGAAAGCACCACCTACGAATGCTATAGTCAATTGTGGTATGATCGACGAATTGTATTTTGTCCTTCTATTCTGGCAAAGATCCAAACCAACGCGTTTTGTAAATGATTTACCTGTGAATATTATATATTATAAGGAACATAAATAGTATTTTTAGAATTCAAAAAGCAATTAGTAAAAAATAATAACACTTTATTTATTAGTTATAGTTATATACTAATACCATTTCTAACATATTATTTACGATAAAAACTATATCCTAATAGTTATTGACGAATAATAATAATTTTAAATAGATATACAAAACTTCAAGTTGAAAATATTACAATCACATAAACAGTTATCACTAACAATTAGCTGGCCTGCTTAAACAAAATCGTTTTCTAGTAAGTATTCCTTTTTATGATTTACCATTGCTTCAAATTTAGAATATTAAACGACAGTGGATTAAAGCTTAATCGAGAATGAAGGTTAGTGAAGTTAATTAAAAGTTTAACACTTCGTTTTTGAGTCGAAGTCTTTTTTATGTATATTTCACTCCGAATATCTTCTAGTCTTTATAAATAAAAAGGTATTGTTTATTTATCATTAACCTAACATTGAGAACGACTCTACCTATTCGACTGATGTCTTTTTTTTTATGTTCGTAATTTATTATCAGGACAATGTTTGTATGAATGAAAATTATTCAATAACCCACCAGAGAAATCGGAAATTTGGATTTTTTCTAAAGTATGAACATCTGTACATTAAAATTCAATTTTAAGTACGTACCCGGTGGTACCACTTACCAGTAAAATAAAATAAAATTATACGGTTCTAACGCAATATCCGCTTACTTTTTCACATAATGACAAAACGTATAAACTTGACTTTTGGAATTGGGTTTCCTCTATTGTTCTAGATGTGCAATAAGAAAGGGTTTTTTAAAAAATACACATTTTAAAGATGTGCTCATACAAGAACTTGCTTTTGGTTACAGATTATGATAGTAACATAGTTTAAAATAAAATAAAAATTGCATACAAGTATTGACCTATGATATATATTATTATGCATTTCATTATACGTTGTATCTTATATCGTTTAACTCTTTTAAACAATTATGTAGGTACAAACACAATTTTCAAAATGATAAATACCAAGTAAAATAGGCAAGTAATCCCGATAAACAATTATCTGATTCACTGCACCAAGGATCTTTCGAGCTTCTTGAAATACTTTTTCATCCGGCCATTGTTTATTTATTTTTTGTAACTTATCGGCCACAACATTGTGAAACCGGGTAAACACAACACTATACGACGTGAGCCCTAAATGTTGATTTATTCTTGGGTCTCCTACAAAAAAAAATGTTTATAATTTATTTTTATACACAAGATTTATAATAAAACATTTAATTAATTTTTTTTTTAATATTTCATTTTGTCTCATCAATTTATTTAATGATAAATACAGTTTGTTCGTTAAAAAATTAATGATAATTTTAATTTGATTTTTGATGAGAAAAAATGTTAAAATTATTTTTAAAAAGGAAAAAAATGTTGTAAGCACATTATACATACTGTTCAGAGTTATGGTAAAATTGTTAAAATTGCATATAAACGAAGCATTGATAAAAAAAACGTATTTTTCAAACGTAATGATACCTTTTTAAAAATTAAAATAGTAATCAAATAATGGATGTGCTGAAGTAAGAGAAGCGAAACAAAAATTCAACACCTATTATAGTAGTGTCTATGGGCGTATACTGCATGTATCTGATTAAACAAACTACGTATATGTACATTTTTAATATGTCGTACATTGTATACGAAGTATAAAGTAATAAATTAAGTGTCTACTAATAATGAGTTTAATTATTTTACTAGACACATCGTATCATTTTATTAAGGCACAACGAAAATATGACGTCAAGCTAATAACAATAGTTATCATTAAATGATTTGAAAAAATGAAATAAAATAAAAATGTATAGTTATTGGAACATTAAATCAGATTGTATATGATTACCAGCTTCGAAACATACGTCCACGTTATCCCTCCCATCACATACTAATGATCCTTTTCTTTTCCTTAGAGGACAATACTCGTTTTCATTTATGACGTCAGTTAGCAATCTCCCACCGTTAAAAGATCTAATTGAATTTGCCTTGTCTAGTTTGTGTCCGTATAACTGTGACGCGTCAATGAACGATGTCGCCTGATTCATCTGCGAAAGAATTATCAAACATGTCTATGTAATATTGTAGACAAAATATGCCAGTAGCTATAATGCCATATGTTCGCAGTCATTATATTATTCTATCAGAATATTTGCAGATAACAATATTAAGCATAGAAGAATATACAGTGGAACTAAAAATGTAACAGGTGAGTTCAGAATGATTGAAGGACAAAGAAGAGAGAATTCTTAGAATAGTATACTCGCGTCTTCGTGCAAAGATAGGTAGGTACTAACAAAATATGTTATGATTTTACGATGGGCGCTTTGAATTATTTAATATATTACGGAAGTATAAGTCCCAGTCCCATAGTAACATAATGAAAATATATGCGATGGAGCTGGAAGCAATTGCATTTTTCATTCGTAGAGTTTAACTACCTTCTAATATGCCAAATATTATAAATTGAATTGCTTTAATCTCAATAATATCATAAAATATACTTAGGTAGTAGTCGTATAGACTGACAAACCGTTTTCAATCGGGATCGTTTAAAATATTAATACAAACAATCGTGAACAGATCGTCACTAACGGGGAGATAGACAGACACAACGGACATATAAAGTGTTCTAAACTTGTGTTCAGAAACCTAACATTACAATATTTAGTTTAAAGAACCAAAACGTAGCGTCTTAACAATTATTAGTATCTAGATATATAAATAACGTAGTTGGTATTAAGTTTTCGTTGGTTAGAATTAAAAATCAGCACTTACTGGAATTTGAGGAGTTATAGAACAGTTGAAATTATTAGCAGCAGTCATTGCACGTCTGAATTCCATACATGTTTTTCCATCATGACGACCATGAACTGGGTCATCCTCTGGTAACTCAATAGGTAATTGACATTGGTAAGGGCTATTACTGTTGATCTCATCAATCGGGACGGAACAACATTCTTTTGGCCCTATTCACATAATCGACAATAACATTGTATTTTGAGTTTTGACATATGTAAATAAAATAATAAACCTAGCTAGACAGTAAAATATACGTATATAACTTTTAAATCGGAAATATTGTAAATGATATTGATTGATCACTGATCCTACACTATGTCAATGTTTCCAAATTGCATAGGTGCGAGCATAATGCGTGAATATACAACGTGTAGATAGGTACATATAGTACTAGTGTGTACATAACGGAATCGCTTAATGTTGTGTTTACAAGCAGCTAAAGTTGAGTAGTGTGCATTAATAACGATCGTAAAATAGGTATTTTTAAACCTCTATGAATATAATATTATGCTGAAAATAAATACGTTTTGATGCAAATAAAATATCTATAGGAACTTTGTTATTTTGTAATTTAATATTTTATTATGTTAATGAATTCTAAGTACTAAATAAACAATTTATTAAAACTCACTAGGCGAGTGTGATGAATTTCCGATTTCCAAACGTATATTTTATATACAAATGCACAAAGGCAATAAACTATAATTATACAATTTAAAAATAACTTGGTGACTTTAATATTTGTAGTACATTTTAGATGGTATGAATCTATATTAATTAATACTTGTACAATAAGTATTTATCTTAATATCAAGAATCGTAACTATGAACTAATGGGTAGACGGTTGGGCACAACGGGAATATAATGTGATCTATACTTAAGTTTAGAAACCTGAAAGTATATTTGCATACTATATCACAGGTGAGGGTAAGCCTAATATTTCAGACTCTATTTTCAATCAGTTTTAGAAAAAAAGACTGAAATGTAAAGTAACCTAACTTTAACTTAAAATAATTATATACTCAACAAAATCTAACCTATTCAAATTCCGGTTGACCTAAAGAATTATTGTACTATTATAGTAATAAGAAACAGAAAATTGTCATCAAAAATATTAAACAGTAGTAGTACTAGTAGTAGTAGTCTTTATTATTTGAAAATGCATAGTTGATATAGATGAGATATAAATATGATCATTGATGGCCTGTTTATATCTAACCTCTCTCTTAAAAAAAAAAAAGAGGAAGAAATATCTAACTGTACATAATATGATTATTATGACAAAATTATTATTAGATTCAATTCAATTAACACATTTTATATTACAATTGAACTATTCGACTACATCCTGATGTTACCAACTTTTTTTGATTGATTCAACAAAATGTTATTAAAATATTCATGACATTTATGCATTAGTGGTATGTTCATAACTGCATAACGTATTTGAATATACATTTATTTCAAATTCGGAGCAGAGCTATAACTGTATTGTTACTACAATGACGTCCATGAGTGTTTTGTTTAATGTGTGTCATCATTCATCAGTCATCGCCTTTTGGTATACCAAATATGCTTCGATCTTTAACTTTGAAAATGGTTTCTGGTAGCTCATTTTGATCTAGTTGGTACTTTGGATGGTCAAAATTAAGACTATGTTAAGTTACTATTTAGTTATATTAATGTCAAAGAAGAGGCTGACGGTGAATCTCCGTTGAAAATCGTTTTTTGTATGAAACTATTTATGATTAAATTCAAATTAAATACGTCCGTTACAATGACCTAGGTACTAAAATAAACCTACTATATAGCAAAGATACTTCCACAGTAGTTCACGCTTTACCTAGATTTGCCCAAATCAATTTTACAATCTAATAAGAAATTAAAAATATTGTTATAATATTCGAAAGCCCTTTTTACCTGAAGAATCTGGTGGCAGGAGAGTGATGTCATGAGTGACCCATTGACCAAATTGACTTAAATGATAATTGTTTGAGTCTGGAGAATCGTCGGATTTTTTCAAAAATAATTTCAACTGCACTTTTCGTGGTGTGGGCAACAGCGATCCATTACACTGTTTCCGAACTTCGTGATCACCTAATGAAGCAAATCAATAATATAATAATAATATATATACAAATATACTATATTTAAATTAAAAATTAAGTTTCACTTTTATTATCTATGTATTTTTTACGCAGTTAGGTAGGTACTTATTGGACGCAAGTGTTTTGTTTTTTTAAAAAAAAAAGAAAGGAAACTAGAAAAAATGTGTTACTTAAACAAATCTTTTTAATAATACCATTTTCCGCATTAATTTCTCATGTCATACCTACGGCACGAAAAAGCTTTTTTTATTTTTTTATGTTTAATAAAATTTATTTCACATATTATTTTTTTTTTTTTACAAGCATAGTTACACACACATTTTATAGATTTTAACATCTATAATTTGCGAGAACAACTTGTAATATTTACTACTAGGTAGCTGTTATTAAAATTGTTTTTTGGACTCATGGTAGCATAGAGCCATACACATATTGAGTAGGCAGTAACTATATTAAATTAACAAACTAATGGTAATTAGTAAATAAAGTATAATAGTATTTACTATTTTGTACCGGCATAATATTATTGTTAGATGACGAAATAACACTGATCATTATTTAGTTATGCCTATATGTATCGTAAATTGTGTAGCTCATTATCTTAAAAGTCTTCAAACAAGCCCTACCTATTGTTTAATATTTTAATTCCACTGAGAAGATATAAATTTCACAAATTTCAGAAAATATAAAATCTACTATTTATTATAACTAACTTGAAAACTAAAATATCTTATGGTAAAAATTGTATTAAAATATAATTACATTGAAATAATAAAATTGTTATAATCAATATTACCTACTACGAAGCAAACGCATAATATTTATGGCTATTAAATACATTTGTTGCTAGATTTAATAACGGATTCAATCCTACATTAAATGTTTTAAAAGCATAGCATTGCATTGTTTCATCCATAGTAATTATTATTGGAACAACTATGCAAAACAAAATTTGTCCATAGTAGACATGCCAAAACCTCAGTATTTTTCTGTAGCTTTTAATTACTTTAAAGGTAAGCAACTAACCAATATAACAAATGTTCTCTTTATTGTACCAACTAAATAAAATGACCGATCGATATAATGTATAGAGCTATTTGAAAGTTGAAACTATAGGAGGCTTTTTTCTACAAGAGATATCTAATCATTGATCATAATAAACTAAAACTAACAAAACAGCTCATAATATTATTATACCTACAACCAACATCATGTTTGTCAATTCGTCATATATTAAACATTTGTCATTTCGCTAAGAATCAAAATTTCAGAATTTCAGTACCACTAGAGATAACTAATACATACAAATAGTAAGTTGTCCTGCCAACTTTTCTATTGAAAATATTTGTTTTGTATATTTCTCATTAATATGTTTTAGAAATTTGAAAAACTGTCCACTGTCCGAACTCACCATCATGATAAGCAGCTTCAGAAACTCTGATGTATGGAGTTTCGGATGACCCCCACAACGGGTTCATTAAGTTATTACATGAGCCATTTATTGTCCTGTAAATAGCATTTTCAATGCAAGTCACTTTCGGCGCACACTTGTCATAATATATGCTATTTGATTGAGGACCGTCTCCATCATAAGTCACGAGGTCTTCAGTTTCAGTCTATATGTTAAATAATATCAATAAGTTTAAATATTTAAATAGACTACTAATTTATTTATATTATAATAATAACTAGAGCCGCCGACGTTATTTTTCTTATAAGGTGTCCATCCCTGCATTGTTTCTATTCGTTCCATTTATTCGCTTATTTAACCAAAGCCTATAGGGTTTATTACTTAAACTTGTTAATGTTTTAGTTATAATTGATTATTGGTTATACAACTATCCCTATATGGTTTTTTTTGTTTGTCGTCAGCTTTAGGATCAATAACAATGTTTCAATCATAATCAATGAAGCTGGGTTCTGGTGGTAAATTAAACGTAATTGATTCTTTGGGTGTTCAGATGTAAATTTCAAAAAAAAAATATGGAAATGAAAGTACGGAATTCTTACTTAAAAATTAAATCTAGTTTTAAAAAAAATCATTTATCTGTTTTTTTGTTGTACTAATTTCGTGACATAACATGCTTTTCATATTATTTGGTTTTTTCTTAGCTGTTTGTAGACGTTGATTTATTTGGTATTAAACAGGCTAAGGCCCTATTACAGATAATAAGAATAAAATTACAATTATTTCTTGAATACGTTCTATTGAAATACAATAGAAAAATGAATAAATTATGTAATAAAATATAAACATGAGTACAATTGTAAATTGCGAATTGACATGTCTAGTTGTAACGATAATTTGATTATTATTTTAGATTCTGATGAATGTATTGATTTTATAATGATGTGTGTTTATTTATTTATTTATTTATTATTTTTGTGTCTGTCATCACGGTTTGGGGTAGTAAAAGTGCTTCGATTTTCTTCAACAACAACTTTTCTGGTAAGAAGGTGAACCTATTTGGTGCATTGGGGAGGTGAAAATTTTAAATCCCCAATAGTTTTTAAATTCGACAGGAAAAATAAAAACAAAATTAAAGAAAAACGAGAATTTTTTAAGAAAAACCAGTTTTCAAAAAAATTGATTTTGGTTTTCAGTGTAACTCTAAAAAAATGACCATAGATATATACAATTTTCACTGAATGATAGTATTTTTTATACATCATAAAATATTTTGACTAGTGTTGAACTATTTATATAAGCATATGAAATTTTTTCTCTTCAAAGTTTTTTTTTGGAACTAATGTCGATAAAAAATTTTTCGTTAGGTCAAAAAACTTGAAAATGTAATACAAGGTTCCTCGTAAGTTGTTGTTAGTGGAAATTTAAAATTAGTTGAGAGAAGAGCAAATCCACAATAGTTCTTTATGAGCGTTTGAATTTCAAATTTCTACAAAATATGTAAGAATCATGAAAATTTTGCAAAATTGTTTTGAGTTAGAAATTTTTTAAAAATTTTGTCTTTTCATATTTGAGATTTGAAAATTTAACACAAGATAAATCCTTAACCTTATAGACAACCTTTATCAAAAAAAATGTTTATGATCGTTTGAAGTTAAACTTTTTACAGCATTGGGTATTCACTTTATTTCTCATATAACGATTATCTTATTTTGTTATAATTAAAAAATGAATAACTGCATATACTTGAAATTCACACCATATGTTAATATTATCAATTCATATCCTTGATGTTCAAAATATTTTGAATCGTTTTGAGCTGTTTAAGGACATTTTCAATTTTCAATTTTTTTAGTTTTTTTTCTATAATTGTCAACATAATGCAATTTGTTGTGCAAAAAAGCTTATAAATATAATACTAGGCTCCTGATATATATTTACAATATCAGTTGAAGAAAAATATTAAAAATACAAAGGTCCGATTTTTTTTTAAAGCATTTAAAGTTCAAATTTTGTCAAAATTAATTCAAAATTTACAAATAATTTTATAACTAAAAATTGTTTAAACTAAAAATTTTTATAGCTGAGGGTTGAAAATTTAAAACAAAGTGCTACTCAAGTAAATTATTATGTAACCAACAAATCTAAAAATAGATAAGCAAGTTTCTTAGTTTTTTTATGTTTAAATGTGGACAAAATTATATATTAAATAACCAAAAATAATGATTTGTGTTGTTTTGTTGTAAATTAAAAATATTATTCGTGGGTAGTTGAAACTTTTATAAAGTACATTAATATATTTTATACACAGTACACTCATTGAGTTTTCAAGTGTATTTTCTTTTTGGCAAAAACTAATTTAAACTTCTGCACAGTAGGCACTAATGCTTACTTGTAAAATAAATTACTTTAGTCACAATAATATCATAAAATGTATTTAATTACTAAGTAATATTATAGACTGACAGACGGTGTTCATTTAGAATCATTTTTCGTATACAATGGTTTTACATCATTGAATTCAAATTTAACACAATCTACTCATTCAACCCACTTTTAACCTACTGTTCAGCATAACGACATCCACTAACCCACTTTTTAAAATCATATCGGTCGTTTCCTACTGAGATTATCGGATTTGTTGTATATACAATCCATACATCCACATAAGATTATATTTGTGAATATCACGTGAAAGATAATTTGTGAAGCGTGATTGTTTGACAATTTATTCTTAGGCAGTCCATGAATTTCGTGTAATAGTGTTCTTTAATGCTTAAATAAACAATTTTACTACTTTTCGACTACTACACATTATTTTCCTAATAATTAGTAACTTTTAGGCTTAAATGAAATAGGTTTCTATACCATGTACTACGATTTGGATTTAACCCCATATTTTTAACAGAAAAAGATAAATGGTTTGATAAATCAAGACAGTCAATGTTGCTTGCCAAAACTGAGAAGCTTCTATGAGAAATATAGGAGCCTAGACTTATTTGACGCTGCTAAGACGTTTCAAGGTGAAGAACAAATAATATCAAATTGTGAGAAGAGCGAGGTTCTCTGGGAATGAAACATTTAAGTGAGAGGAAAAGCAGACATTTTTATTGTACTTTTTCCGGTTTATTGCCTGATTTTTAAATCATAAAATATAGGAGATCTTATATCAATATCATGTATATGCACAAATGCAAAGTACCAAAGAGCATAAATATTGATTTTAAAGCATATTTATCGGTAAAACCTACACAATTTCAGCTAATAAAACCAAATAATTGTTGTGATCTAGTTAAAATTTTATTAATGTGACTAAAAGTTGAGCTCTGAGGGGAGAGGGTGAGCTGATCAACAGTTTTATATTTCCTTATTATAATGGGACAATATTTTGAAAAATTTGAGATACTTAAAATAATAATTATTATTATTATTATATTTAATAAATTAGACTTTTAATAAATTCAATTTTAATAATTTAATAATCACTAAGAAAGACGTGATACTCGTTACTTAGATATCATCATTTAATCAATCAGTTGGTTCCTTCAATAAAGTCAGTATAATATTACACAGTAATATATTGTATATTTAAAAAGTAATTATTGTACTTTTACATTTCAATAGGTGTAACATAATTTTAATATTTTCAAAACAAAATATAATTAAAATTATCTACCTAGTGCAGCTAGGTAACTTAGGTAACTTATATACAAAACTTCCTTTTTTAAAATATGAAATATTAATTTATTGGGAACGTAATTTTATTATTTTTTAATCAGTTAATAATATATAAATTACCACTTACGTCACAACTTATTGAAGTTCCCAACACTGACATGAAACATAACCATACAAACAAATTTAACATTCTCGTACAGTCGTACAAATGAATTTAAACCTAAGACATTGAGTAATTTACTAAATAAACATTTTACATTAGATAAAAACACATAATAAGTATAATATTATATTATATTGCAGTACATTATAGGTCGAACAATTTTAATTGCACTTCACACTTCAATGTGATTTTAGTTTGAGGAAGAAATATCAGCTTCATAAATGTACAATAAATTGCATGGTGAATTAAACTTAATAGTTAAGGAGCACAGTTATGGAGGAGTGAACATGTTAAAGTGGATAAGCTCCCGCCTCCCCCCTCCCAGTGGCTGCGGGATACAATACTATTTGAAGCAATTGCTTCATAGCTTCATAGCTTCAAGTGCTTCAACATAGTAAATTATCATTTTGATGTAATAAAGAGGATGGTTGGTGGTAAAAATATTTAAAATGTACAATTTTCTTCAAAGACTCAAAAAGTTCAAGCCGCCACTACCCCCTCCTATAGAAACACTTCAAATACCTCTATAATTCGTAAAACTTAAGTAAATCCGCATGGTTAGCTTTATAAGCTCGAAAATATGAACAAAACCTTTCAAACAGAAAGGAACAAAATATTAAGCGATTTCAAAATATTTGTTTTCGGATTTGTATATTTTTTTTATCCTACTGAATACAGTAATATAGTAATAAAGTCATAAATGATATTATAGTATACCAATAGGAAATAATAGACGAATTAAAATTAATTTCTGTAATCACAAACCCACAATAATCACATATTTATGTAATTTTATTAAAATTATTATTACCGAGAAACAGCGAAATAAAATATTTTAATGATTTCTCTTGCTAAAACCTCCCTCAGAAAACCTCCTTTTTATTTGTGAAACAACAATTCACCGGTCCTCTAAGTATGTTAATTTGAATTAAGCCAATGTTTGGTTATTACAAAACACATGTCTGGGGGACACTTATACTTCAGTTATAACCTACAAATTGTGCGTTACATTCGTATTTGAATACAAAGAACAAATTTTTTTTAAATATAAAATATTTGAACTCCAGCTAAAAAAATCTATAAGCACAAATCACTATAATACAATTAACTCCACTCGGAATTATTTTAAAAAGTTTTTACGATCGAATTTTAAAATAAAAAAAAATACATACGTACCTTAAACTGACAGTTTTTAACTTGCCTGTGTTAACTGAACAAAAATATTATAAACAACATAACAACATACAATAATCATACAATAAATACACAAATTATATTAGATAAATTTAAAGAAATAATATTATATTATCTAGATTAATATACAGAGAGTTGGATACAAAAATATTACAGTTTGCTACTGCTGTAGGATTCTCTAGGTTTATTATCTATTATATACTCACCAAAAATATTATCATATGTTTGCCAAAGCTATATATAGTTTTTATAAATATTATCTTATTGACAAACAATCAAATTAATATGTTCTAACAAATACAATGCACATGTCATTCATACTTGTGTATGTTATTAACATGTCAACAGTGACATGTTACAAGTGTTTATGACAAGTCGGCAAAAACAAAACAGAAAAAACAGTGAGGTAGCTACCTCTGCAATGAATTATAAGGCACTAGAAAATGAGATAAGATTTTTAAAACTACTACAGGTATTAACTTCTTTATAAAATAACCCACTTAAATATAAGCAGTATAGACTCTACAGTATTGGTTATTAATTTGAAATAAAAGAGACCTGATAGTTATAAGATTATTGGAATTAATAAATTTAAAAAAGCTGGGCAAGTGGGCGCCGCTCTGCTGTACAGTAGAAGGTGTCTAGGAAGGTCATTGTAATAGATGTGTTAAATTTTGAATTCAATAATATAGAATCACTGTATATGAAAAACGATTCTGAATTAGCTGACTGTCTGCCAGCCTATACTATACTGACTAAATTTTATGATATTATTGGTATTAAAGTAATTTACTTTACTATTAGACATTAGTATAATACAGTAGATTGAATTGATTTTTTCTGAATAAATTGAATTTGAAAACTACTTATTGTGTGTATAAAATATAATAATAATACTTTAAAAGTTTCAAATACCCACAAACATAAAGGTAACTCAAATCGTTATTCTTCGATAAAAACTTATATCAATTTACGTTATAATTTGAATTTCAAATATCTACGAACAAAAATTGTTTACATGCATTTCATAGATTTTTTATTTACAGTATAAACTAAAATTATGAAAAACCTTGTTTTAAACTGTCAATAATTTTTACTTATAAAAATCAAACATTTTTAACTACAAAATAACGATCAAATTTGTAATATTTTTTTAATTAAATTTAAATGATTATAAAAAAAAATCTTCTTTATGTGTATCTTTAATATTTGTTTCAACAACTATTAAAACAACTTAAGAGGAACATTACATTTTCAGTATTTTTAACCCAAAAAATATTGAAAACGTCTATAAGTAATATACATTTATTGCTAGATCTGATATATTTTAGGAGACATCCTAATGAACAACATGATATTAAAAACTTATTTTTCACCTCGATCTTTCTGGTAAGCTGTTGGTTGATCTTCGACGGTATAAAATGTCTGAAAACTTGAGCCTATTATGATAATTGATACTTAATAGTATGTGAATCAGCATGCTGCTCCATGTTTATTCTTAATATAGGTAACAATATCCCATTAAACGTCAAAACATTATTTTAATATTGGTTATTACTAAGGCTGTGAATTTAATGCACTAAAGAACATTAAAAAATGCATTAAAAATGCCAAAAGAATGCAATAAAATATGCACTTAAAATGCAAAAAATTATAGTATAAAATTCATTTAAAATTGTTTTTTTATTTAATTTTTATATTTATATTAGTAATAGGTACAGGATATTATACATTAATACATTACATGCATAAAAAAGTGTTTATTTAATAAAAATATTGATTGAATTTCAATTTTCTATACTGAATGCTATTCACCTGACACATTTTTTAAGAACTGTAGACATAAATAACTTATGAAGTTGTCTAGCAATAAATTGCCTTATTTTACAAAAACAAATTTTTCAGTCAATTGACGAAATTTGATTAAAAATACAGGACAATCTTTTTTAAATAACGTCGATTGTAAAATTTTCGCTCCGTCAAAAAGCTTGAGAATTCAATACAAGGTTCCTCGTGAGATCTACACAGGTTAAAAAAAACGAAGATCATTCTTGTACAAAGTAGGCACAATTCCACAAGCCGCATAAATGAATGTTACACCAGCGTATTAACGCGTTTCTTAATAATAATGGAAAATAAAAACTTTAAAATCATTACACTTCAAAAACATATTTTATTTACACAAATCTACATAGGTGATCCTTATAAGAAATGTTTTCACTTAAACACATCGTCTTTATTGGCTTCAGTGACTTATCATCGTAACCGCGGTACAACCGACCGTTGGGGTTTCCACGGCGGGTCTATGAAACAAACTCGCAAAGTCGTCGGGACCACGAGGTCACGAAAATTCAAACAAACAGGAGCGTTTCGCACTCTGCTCACAGCTTGAACACAAGCGGCGTGGCGCAAAACCAAAGTTAAACAGCTCGTATGACTGTCAGAAAAGTGCAAAACATACAAAACACGGGAAAGAGCCGACGAAAGCACGGTACGTGGGGGCAAATCGTCTGTAACAGCCGCCAAAAACGGGGACGAAAAACTGTAACTATAACTTTCAAACACTTATGTCGGCCATGGCAATTGGCAACAAGTTTTTCATAGTTTCTGTAAGACTGTAAATCAAGAATAGGTTTCTAGATAACATCAACACTGTTATATTTTGTTTTGCAGTGCTCCGTTTGTGTTTTTTTCTTTTTTGTCGAGAAATGTTAGACTCAGGTTGTACATATATTTTCTTTGGTACAAAAACGAAAAAACCAATAGATACTATTTTGCATTTCTATGGTCTATAACATACATAGTTATTGATACATTTATAATAAGTTTTTATCGTTTAATAACCTCGACGTCGCACGTTGACGCCACAACAAAAAACATCAGATTATAAATTATGTAGGTAATTGTGTTATATTACAGTTAATATAACATATTATACCTAGTTAATATACAGAATAGTTTTATTTTTTTATTACAATAATCACTTTTTTAAATTGCTTAACTTTTAATTTAACTATATTATTGTACAATTTCAAAAATGAAATCTATTTTATAACTTTAATCAATTATTCATATTTTTTTGTAAGTTTTGTACTTCACATGTATATTATTTAAACTTATACGTGATTCTTTTGTATCTCCGTTTGAAGAAATAATAATTTATTAAGTTAACCTTTTTAATTTTCTTTCCATGCAGAAAGATTAAAACTTGTTGATCCACAATCAATTGTAAGCCTTAAAACAAAATTATAAGAAATTAACTGGACGTAAGAAATATTTTAAAATTGAATTGGTCATGTGTATGGATATGTTATACATAACAACACACAGATCAGTAATTGATAGTATAAGTACAAGTTATCAAATTTAATCAATTAATCAAAAAAATAATACCAACCTAGCTGGTATGAAAATATTGAATGGTAATATATCGATTTCTGTAGTTGCACAAAATATTTGAGAAAGGGTGAGACTCCATAAGACATCATATTGTTCTAATATTACAAATATATTTAAAAAAGCATCATTACGGTAAAAAATATATAACTAATTATCATGTATACCTTTAGAAAAACTTCCTGGTTGATCTTCTACATCGAAAAAGAAACGATCACCATATCGAATACGAAAAAATCCATCAGAGATTATGCACCTTGCAGTTTCACCAACCATTGCATCGTCAACAAGTGGTTCAAGCAAAGCTCCTACTAGCAAATCTATATCTTCGACACTTTCATAATTCTGCTTCAGTAACTCAATGTCCTGAATATAATTAATCAGTAGTAAACATTAAAAATTATCAAATAGTAATATTACTCAAATGATATAATAGGTTTGGTTTTAATGACTGAAAATATATTTTTTTTAATTAAAAGCTGCTTCACGGCTGATAAGCATTTATGTCTGCAATGTGTACAACTGACCAGGTTGACAGATTTTTGGGGGCAACAAATGTATAAGGTGGTGCAAATTTGTTTACTAAAATATTTTTGTAGTTATAGTGAACTATTATAACTTTTTTGAAATTGAAATTGTTTTCCGATAACAATAACATAATACGCTATTTAATTTAATCGGTGGTCCAGGCCATGGATAACCTAGTTCAAATTGTTGACAAGAAATCTCTGAAATCTCAAATGCTATTATTATGAAAAAATTTTTTAAAAAAAGGTTATTCGAAAGAATATACTGAAAAGAGGTCCACTTCGTTATACTTAAAAGTCTTTAATCAGGGGAACGTTTACCTACTTAAAAGGCTTAAGAACTTCCAGAATAGACTGTAGAAGAGGGATGGCAAATCCACGGCACGCGTGCCCGAGGTGGCACGCGAAAAGATTTTGTGGTGAAAATTTTTATTATTATATATTATATAATATATAATATTATAGGACCTATAATAACCTAAACTAACCTTTTTATACTAATACATTAATTATACAATCAAATTATAGTATAACAAAATATAATATTTTTAATATTTTTTTCATCGCACGCTCTAAAAAGAAAAGGTTATTACTAATTTTGGGCAAGGAATATTCAAAAGTTTTGCCATCCCTGGTATAGGTAGTATGAACAAAATTTATAGTTATGATTTAAAAGAAATATTTTATTTTAATGAGTTTTTAAGAATTCCAAGATACCTCACAATTTTTAATTTTAATGTAAAAGTGTACTAGCAGTTTCTAATGACAAAACAAATTGTTAACTAGCGTAGTAGCATAGAAATATTTATTATTAGTACTTAAAACAGTTTAAACTCGCACAGTGAATAAAAATAATAATTTAAAGCAGTAATTATAATTTATTAATAATTCGATAAGTGAACAAAGATAATATTATACTTATTGCATTCATCAGAATTCACAAAAAAACCGCAAAGTGTATTGTACGGCCTACAGTATAAATATAAGTTCCGAATGTGGCCCTCAAGTTGAAAAAAGTTGAGCACGCCTAGTATACTACTGGAACCTTAAAATATGCTGTTTATGCATTATGCGTTAATAGTTTATTTTTTCTTACCCTAAAAAAAGTTAAACCTGGTGTTATTTATTCTATCTATTCTATAACAATTTAAAGTGGCCAAATCCATTGAGAAAAATAAATCTAAATGATTAACTTTGAATTATTTGTATATGCATATAACATATACGTAGTTACAGGAAGAACTGTGTCAATCCTCCCGAGTCTGTAATAACTTCGTTTGTACATTAAAATATTATATACTTTATTATGAAAATAAGTACTTAGGTCTATACGAGAATTGCTGTGTATTATATAGATAATTTTGCAACTATTACATAAAATTAAATAAGTCAACCCACAATAAAGAACTAGTACACAATGTAAACAAAATTGAGCAAACTGTTAAAAATCAGGTCCAAAAATATCAATATACTATGAAGTACCTGTACGGCTATACAAATACGGCTGCACTTACTGACGGTGATGACAGTATATTATTTTAATACATACCTATATATTATAGTTATGACTATAATATCAAACACCAAGACCAACTATGGTTCATATCGAGAATCTCGACAAAATATTTACAAAATATGAGCACATTAAATCTTGTTTTCATTCTAAACTTTTTCAAATTTACTGAAATACTACTACCGCATTTTAAACAGCTGATCTGCTTTTTAATTAAATATATAAGGCATTATAGAATAGATTATTAGAATCTTCGCATTTTAATTGTTTTACATAGTATATTCACCAGTGGATTGAATAAACATGTGCTCTGTTTATAACTAATTTTTAATTTTTTTTAAATAACAATATGAAACATATTTTTACACAATGAAATATTAAATACATACAATAACTTGATACATCATAATTTATATAATATGTACTGGCGTCTGGCAAGAACGATTGGCGGTAAAACAAAACAAAAATCGCGAGGAGAGCCAACTAACGTTGCCGACGGAAAGCAACGGACGTAAGTACAAAACCAAAAAAAAATGGGGCGAAGTCAACGGGTCTGCTAAGTCAAACGAGAGAGTGCGTTTTGCACAACTCGAACCGCGTATAACACATCTTCACAGTACACGAATATCGTGGACACTAGCGGAGACCATATTATTATATTTTATACTGTAAAGTTGTCAACTCAAAATGCCACTTTTGGCTAACCGTACATGTAAACGAATTATTATTGAACCATATATTGAAATGTAAGAATATTACAATCGTCATTTTAAATACACATATTATGTAATGTGTCTGGAAATTAATTAGTAACCATGCACCTATTTTATTTTCAATGTTCAACAATATTATAATATTATATTTCGTTGTCATGGATATGTACATTCGTCCGAATGTTTATTCGTACGTCTTACAACAAATTTTGTTTCAGTCTACTACGAGGCATTGCTCAAACTATTTTTTGTCTCATAAATTATTTAAATAATTTAACTCAATTATAATGTCTTGAAATTCAATTTCTGAATTTTTAAACAAAACCATGGAAAGTTTCACGGAAGCAGACCATATTACAACCAACGACGACGTTGACTTCGGCAGATATCAAAGTGTTGGACGAGGTGGCCGAGGACTTACTGAAGGCCGCCGTTCAGAGGTCATTGAATTTGCCCGCCCTCTCTCTGGATCCGAGTGACGAGCGGTCGTCGTCTGTTTCAAGCGGTGATAGCAGTATTGCATCACCACAAACGGAGGCGCCGAGTATTTTTGTGCCGAGCGTCTTGGACAAGTTGCTGCAGTTTGACGAAGTTGCGTCAGAAATCCGAAACGCTAACACGAAGTACGGTAAGCGCCTTCCGCCGTTACCGCGGTGTTTCAGCAGTACGCCGGAAGTTGAACACTTGCCACCAATAACGCGGCATTCTGAAGACGGTGATTGTGTGGCACCTGGTTTTTTGGCCACTAACGAGCGACAAAAAACAACGGCGAACAACCGGCTGCCGTCGGACGTAGATTGTGAGCCGGACGTCCCAGAGGTCAAGAGCGTGATTCAGTCAGAAGAAATTGAGAAGACAGTTCAAAGCACGGCTATAGACGTACCAAAAAGTGACGGTGACGAGCTCGAACCGTCAGTGGCCACGGTAAAGTCAGCAGCATCAAAACAACCGCTGCAAAATAGTCGTAGGCCGTCCATTATGTCAGCACTAGGGAACCGACTCCTCAAGGTCGGCAGATTGTTGGTCTGATGTTGTTGTCGTCCGAATAATAATGATTAGATTGGTATTAGACTCTGGTACCGCGATGTGGCGCATCCGGTTTTTCGAGCACCCTTGTGCCTCGTCGCATTTTTTTTTTTACATTTTTCTTTTAGTTTTGTACCGACGTCCCTCGTTTTCCGCCGGCAACCTTTTAGTTGGCCCTCGCGATTTTTGTTTTTTGGTTTTCCCGCTAACCATTCCTGCGAGTACCTTTATACATTAAGATGTATTCAATATATATACAATATACATATATATATTTTTTTTTTTTATAATTTTTTAAATATTTTTTTGTATATTATATCATACATATATTACCATGTGTTCAGTCGTTCCTTGTGTAAAAATATGTTTCATACTGTTAATTTGAAAAATACAAATTTGTTATTTACAGAACACTTGTTTATTCAATTGACTGGTGTATGTATTATATAAAATTATTAAAATACGACGATTCTAATAATCTATTATATAATACCTAATATATTTAATTAAAATACAATAGCAGAATTGTAGTAAATTTAAAAAAAATGTAGAATGAAAACAAAATCTAATGTGCTCATATTTTGTTGATATTTTTGATATGAACCATATTATAGTTAGTTTTGATAAGAGTGTTAATTATAAGCGTTTGATATTGTAGTCATAACTATAGGTATATATCTGGGATGGCAAATCCATGGCACGCGTGCCCGAGGTGGCACGAGAAAATATTTTGTGGAGTGTGGGCACGCGAAAATTTTTACTATTTTATATTATATAACCTTTTATACAATCAAATTATAGTATAACAAAATATAATATTTTTTAAATGTTTTCATGGCACTCTCTAAAAAAAAATGTTATTACTAGTGTTGGGCATGCGGTGTTTAAAAGGTTTACCATCCCTGCTATAGAACATAATATATACAATACACAAACATATAGGATAATAATAGACAAATACAAGTACTTTACTTTTTCATTTCTTTGATTAAAACTATAAAAAATGTTACGCACAATTTAAAAAACTCACAGTAAGCTGTAATGCGCCAGATAAATCATCAAATGATGTAATATTTGGAAAACCGCAAATTTTTCTGACTCTAATGTATGGAGGTAAACCAATATCACGGCCCCTTTGAATGTCTATACTAAGTAAGTCTGTGTCTGCAACAGTACTTATAAAATTATGAAACATACCACTTGATATCTGGTATATAATCAAATAATTCAAGTTAATTATAGAGGCAAAAAGATTTCAATATATATAAGGTATATATTACCAACAAATTATAATTTGGTAATGGACATCGACCTTTCACGAATGACATTCCTCTGAGTAATTCTTCAAGCTTAGAACCGCCGATTATCGGATCAGGAAATGACATGTACTCGTTAAGTTTAAAATTTTCTGAGCTATGGTATGTCTCGTCTACAAAACTTGATCAGTAGTATAATTAAAACAAAGGATGTCTTTTAGATTAAAAAATTAAAAAATTACTAATATAGCGAAGGCACAACGTTGTGTGGAACTCGAAAACAACCTCCTGAAAATTCAACGGCCAATTGTGGCATAATTGATGGATCATACACAGTTTTCTTATCTACAGTAAGAGTCAAACCAACTTTTTCACAATAATCACTACCTATAAATATGAAAGCATTTAATTTTTAGATATTAAATTTAAATTGATACATATTTTATATTTTTAACTAATGAGTATTGTACCTTTAATAATTCTTTATAACTTAATTTATATGTAGATACAAAAGTATATTTACATCGAATCATGTATATCTGAAATTGGTGACACCTAAAATAAATACCTACCAAGTAAAACCGGCAAGTAATCTCGGTAAACTAAAATCTGAAGAACTGCAGTTATGAACTTTCGAGCTTCTTGGTATAGTATTTCATCTGACCAATTTGGATTTTGAGCTAGTAATAATCCTGCTATAAGGTTATGAAACCTAACAAACGCCACTTGGTATAATATGAGACCGAAGTGCTGATTACCTCTAGGATCGCCTAAAAACAACATATTTTTTAAATGGGTATCATAATGAATTCTATATTCATAATGATAATTTTAGTTTTTGCAGTACCTCCATCGAAACAATAAGTCACATTAGTTCGCCCATCACAAAATGATCCATTCCTTTGTTTTTGAGGACAAAATTCTTGTCCATCAATCATGTCAGTTTTTAATTTTCCTAAATCATGAGATCTAAGAGAGTCTGCTTTAGCTACAGTAGATCCGTATATTTGAGATGCGTCAAGAAAAGCAGTTTGCTGATTTACCTGAAAAATATATAACACATAAGATTTTTTGGAATTATTAGAGTTTTGTACATTATGTATGACATCGATGATTTTAATATTAAGGGTACGAACAGGGCAGTCATTTGGGGGGGAGCAGGGTTTTCAACGGCACCACTAACTTAAAAAATGTTAAAAATTGAACAGCCATCAATACTCCAATGCGCCGCCATAATTAAATTATACTTTATGATTTCATGTATAGGTACTTAATATAAATAAAATATTTTTTTCAAGTTTTTGTATATTTTTGGTTCATTAGGTTTATTGATCATATCTTATTTGCTTTTTTTCAAATATTAGTGAAATGGCATTATCTGGTTGCTTTAATTGCTTAAAAGCTTTTAATTCTTTGAATTGCTAGATATTTAAAAGTTGCATTAGTCGTTATGAGTTTCAATTATAATTATAAAAGGGAAGAAAAGAATATTTACATAGGTTTACATAGGTTACCTACATTTACGTATGTAAATATTTTTTTTTTAATCACTTGGTGAAATGTCAAAATTGGCCTGCCTAAAAGTTTGCACACCCAGAAAAAATCTGAAATGACGCCCTTGAGTACGAAATAACAATTTATTATTTAATAGTATGTTATATACTGAAATTCATGGCAGGACAACCAAACAAATTTGTTAAAATCGTGAAGTTAAGTTATGAGTAGGTATAAGAAAAATTAATATAAGTTAAGTTGGATGCTAACTGCCTAACTGTTGCCGCCGCAACACAACAATATATGAATACAATTTAAAATAGTATTCGATCTCAGTCACGGAGGAACTGCAGGTCAAACTAGAGGCTGGTGGTATTTTTGGTATACCGATAAATACCGGTATCCCGTATTTTCGGTATTTCAGAATAACGGTATACCATGATTCGGTAATTACCGTTATTACCGAAAATACCCTACCCCGGTAATTACCGAATATACTAGCATTTATTATTTATTATTTTTATATATTCATAATGACATAATATAATATTCTAAACTGCCAGTTTGCAGACCACCGTTGCCTGCATCTAGATCAGAGTTTCTCAACCATTTCAGCGTCGCGAATACCAAAAAAATAGGTTAAAATAAAATCAGTTACCTCACGATCCCCTCCCTCTTTGTTTGTAGAAGTAATTTATTATTTTTCTAGAAACTACCCCTCCCCTTTTCCCCATATCACAAAATATTGGGAGTCTTAAAGTCTTAAACAATAATTAATAATTACACATGATTTTTAGATGTTAAAGGTAAATTTTCTTAGGTTGGAAACTTGGAAACACAAATAAATTTACCGAGATCCGGTATGTATTCCGATGTACTATATTTCCGGTAATTACCTCACCTCGTTATTTTCGGTAATTACCGTGGTAAGGTTAACCTAACCGAAAATACCGTATAACCGGTAATACCGTAAATACCGGTAGTAAACAAATACCGGATACCGGCATCAAAATTTTGAATACTGCCAACCCTAGGTCACACCACAGAATAAATGAAAAATAAATTTCATTAATTCTGTGGTCACACACACACACTCAATCACCTGTTATGTAATTATTGTTTTGTTTTTGTATGTATTTAAATGTGCCCAGTGAGTTATACCCATATTATTATTATGTAGATTAACAGCACGTTATCGCAAGCTGCCGAGCCGGCCCTGCAATTATAATTTAATAAGGCCGCCGTGATTCAGTCCACAGTAAGCTCTACGGTGTCAGCCAAGAATTGAAGAATCCACGTTGATTTGCCGGTCTTTTTACTATTATTTTAACTGTCGGGGCAATTTTTAAATATTGAATTTTTGTCGTGGAGCAATTCGCCTTAAATTATATTATAAATTATTATATCGTGGGCGCGAATCGTCTCAAATTACTATACAATTTTGTTTGTTTGTATTGTTATTTACCAAGCGCAATCGCCTGTTATACATATTTATTATTTTATTATTGTCTTGGGCGCGAATTGCCACTCTTTTTATACTGTATATTATTATACTTTTGTAATCTGCATTATGCACAATTTTATTACAAATCTATTTTAATGTTAGAAAATTTTAATAATTAAGGAATTACTTAATTTTATATGACCTGCTATTGGAAAGCAACTATAGCTCTAAAATATTTTATTTTAGGATAAAATGTAGGGTACTTCAGGAAGAAACATTTTGTACCTAGTATTTTTAGTCCACAAAAAGTTAAAAGACTATTTAAATTATACCGTATATAAAGAAAAGGTAAAAATATTGTAACGTAAATTAAAACTATAAATGATAATATAAATCAGTACACACGGGTATTTGAGGAGTTATTTCACAATTGAAATCAAAAGAAGCTGTCATTGCTCGTCTAAATGGAAGACATGTTTTGTTTATTTCAGAATATGCCGGGTCTTGAGGGGGTATCTTAATCACTGCTTGGCAAATATCTGGAATATTGTCATCACTCTGAACTGCACAACAATCCGCAGGTGGTACTAAAATATTATTTATCATTATTACTATTGTATATAAATCAATTTTATTTAACACATTTATCGATTTAAATTATGGCCAACACAGTATAAAGAATTGAGATGCTCTACCCAGGCAACAATATTGTAACTACTAAAGTATCAACAATAATATAGACCAGATGTATGAACTTAAATATTTTAACTTAAACGCAGTTCGGTACCCATAAGGTTTTTAACTAAAATTAAACTAAAGGCAAAATACTATTTTACAACAATTTGAAACGTTTAGGCATAGTGAAGTCTCTATCTAACCTAGATGTTTTACATTTTTATTAAATAGCATTATATGTAGTTATTTACTGTCTTACTTCCTATAAAAATCTAAAAAAAAATGTTCATTTAAAACGAATTAAATGAAAACTTGTTGACTTTCTATAATAAATTGTACTTATATGTTTATTCAAAAAATCGTATCTAGTATTGTTTCGATTAACTAAGGAGACACGGTAGGAAACTCCAAATGGTGCCAATGGAAAGACATCAGGTTATATGGAGAAATAGTAAATAAAATAAAGGAATAATAATACGAACCTTTTGTTTAAATGTACACCATTACCAATTAAGTGTAGAAAGGAAGATTTAATGACAACAATCGATAATTCAGACAAGGTGATACAAATCGATTGTACTTGATTCGTACTTTATACGTTTTAAAAAAGTAGTAATCCGTGGTGGGTAGGTAGCGCTCCAAAAGTTGTTTTTGAGTACAAACATTAAAATACTTAAATGCAGAGCATCAAATAATGTATAGAATGTATTATACATGCTGACTTAGGTAGTCATCCTACATTATACGAGATATACCCAAAAGATAAATTTCAATACTTTAAATTAATGGATAATAAAGATGTTTATAACATGCCAATAACCTTAGTTGTTGTGGCTTAAATTAATAAAAAAAAAAAAAAAAGATGTTTATGTGGAAAAATAGTTAACATTCTGACATTCTGTTGTAAATTACAACAATTTTTTTTAAATATTTGTAATTATTTTGTTTTATCCTCTTATTCAAACAGTATTTAATTTTTAAAGCGTTTTACCAGTAAAATTGACTCCCATTAAACTAATATCATGTGTAATAAACTGGCCGACTTGATTGACATGATAATTTCTGGAAATGTCTGGAACATCAATTGGAAATGTTCTTGGCCAAAACAATTCCAACTGCAAATGGCGAGCTCCTGGCAATTCCGATTTATTCTTATATTGTAGTCGAAGACTATAGTTACCTATTAATGCAATTTAAATATATGAATGTTGTCGACTTCAGTATAAATAAATGTAATTATATTATATTTTTAATTATTTATTTGTGCATATTATAATATCTTTGTCTTTTGTCAATTTAATTAATACAGCAACAAAAGAGTAAGGCAGTAAGTTTAATAACAGTCGATTTACAGCATGCGTACCTACTAAATATTATTTATATTATATGTTATTATAATAACATTGCAAATTTTTTTTGTAGCAGCAGCAGTATTGCAAATTATTGCAATTAATTTGCAATAACATGGTAAGTACTAGTTTGGAGACAATACGACAAACTTGGACGACAACACATATAAAAAAGAAGAACAGCAGAGTTCATCAACATGAGATCATTACAATATGAAAATTGTTTTAATATATAACTACTATGTAAGCCTAAATAGTTACTTGTATTTAATAACTTATATATAATATCATCGGGTTATTTATCAATTAAATAAAAATATATTCATTGACCACTTACCATCATCGTAATAAGCTGAACCCAGTCGAATATAGGGAGTAAAAGTTGAACCCCATAATGGTTGTTCTAAGTTATTGCACGTTCCATTAATAGTTCTATATTTAGAAGTGCTATTGCAAGTAACCGAAGTTGCGCACTTTTTATAAAACTCGTCACTTACATTTTTAATTAAATTTGCTTCGGGGTAAGTTTGAGCCTAAAAATTAAAAATTAAAATATATATATATGGTAGGTATACAACTGTAACAGCTTAAATTGAAAGAGCATAATATTAAATTGGGATGCTTGTGTATAGATGTTATTGCACATTTTTCGATATCAAAAGTATTTCTACTGTCTTGGTTTTCAATGACACCTGTCGATATTACATTCATAGGTACTTAGGTATGCAAAATGCAAATATTGCGCTCCCATAACTTGGGTGTGGTCTTTCTACCACCATAGTCTCGGCCTTCTGATATTGGGTCTATTCTGTTGATAGGACCTGTATGTTTATTGGACGCATATCACACTCCACTTTCTTGCACATCTCGGACATCAATATTTTTTTATCTGGTGTTAAGTCCTCAATATTAATATTGACACCATCGTCAGATTTAGTCCTGAAAAGGAACATTTCACCATCTGACAGTGGTTGGTAGAATTGGCCAACAAATAATTAATTGTTTAAAAAGTTCCGTGTGGATCTCGGTAAATTCTACATTCGATGTTCCCATAGGGCATCACTTGGAAGTTTCTACGGTTATTACCTAAATTTGAATTAGGTACATCAAAATAACAAAACCGATTTTGCTGAAAACTGGCAAAAATATATTTCCGGTATTTTTGTGAGTTTCTTTTTAATTTTTCACAGTCATAAATTAGAGTTCTGTCAAAAGGTGATGAGTGATGACTGTCACGAAAAATAAAAATAAAATACCGATATGCACATTATTGTACAACCAATTATAGCTACAATCGTTGCTTCGCAATTCACTTGGTTTCTAATATTTTCAGAGTACCCAAACATAAATTGGTTTTATGTACTAAATAAAATGTATAACTAACCTGAATACCTGAATACGTCAGTAATGTATCCAAAAATACTAAAATAAGTAAATTATTCATTGCTGGAAAATTTCTCCACATACTGTAAAAAAAAATATGATACTGAATCTTAGCTGGCTATAATAAAAATATAACTTAGGTTGAAAATTTTAACTTAGTTTATTTAATTTGCATACTTATACAATTTTTCTATTTATTGTACACCCATATACAACACCTGTATCATATTTGTACAAGGTGATGATTATTTTATCATGAACCACTCATTATTTCAAAAATTAATAATTATGTATTTGAAAATATTTTTTGCATGGTTTCAAGTCGTTACAAAGCAAGGTATTTTAAAAAAATTATATTTTTCAATATTCTTTATCCATATCATTTTTTATGTTTTTATGTTTTGAATCACAACATACAGTTTATGTGTTATGGGTAAGTTTAGATGAGCGGAATGGAGTGATACCCAGTTACCCCGTAAATGTTCGTTCACTCATAAGTCATAACTCATGAGTCATGAACTACTCGTTATAAATTCGATTTTTATGTATCGAAATAGTTAAAAAAATATTCTACTCTACTTTGGAATATGAAATGAAAACTGTATGTTGACATTCAAAAAATAAAAAACTTCAAAATTAGAAGAATAAAAATATTAAAAATATATTTTTTAAAAACCACATTGTTTTGTGACGACTTGAAACCATGTAAAAAAACATTTTCATATACATCAATAGGTAATTTTTAAAATAATCAGTGGCTCATGATAAAAGAATCCCCCTGTATAATATCATCTACAAAATAATATAGGTATCTATTGGCCATTATAGGTATTTACATTGGTTTTATACATACATTATAATATTATGTATATATATAAATTTATAATCCATTCTTTTTTGTAACAGAATATTACAGTTTTTAATTTACAATGATGTTTTTTCCATGACAAGTCAACATGTCCCATACCTACACATAAACTAAAAAATCACTAGTTCAAACTGGTGCACAAAAAAAGCACCGGGGTGTTCGCACCTTACCATTAACATTATCAATATTGATCAACGAGAGATAACGTTGGGAAAATTTTATACCGGTTTGGACAAAAGAATTTCTAGAAAAATTTATTTCTTATCCATCGATCAAACGTCCATCTAATTATTCTAATTGGTAACTGGTAAGCACTTAAAATAATATTTGTGCATTACGTAGGTAACTTTATTAAATGTAGGTAAATACAAAACGATATAGGTATAATGTGAGTGTAACAGAAAGACCTGAAAAATCAAATAACTTTTGTTCTAATCAATGTTTTTAAATTTTGTTGCTATATAATTTATTCACTCGTTTGCTACACTTGTAATATCACATTTTTCTTTCTAATACTGACAATTTCAAATCTGAATTAAATATTTTTTGAAAATTTTAAAATAGGAAATTTGTTAATCTATTTTTTAGGAAAAACTTTTTTTCCGAAAAAATTAAATTTGAAAATGTCATTGACATGGGCGATCCTTGGATTTATTTTCGGAGAGGTTAGGAGTGAATTTTTCCGACTTCCAAAATTTAAATTTGTTGAATGCATACCTACTCGGCGTCTGGTAATGTAAATATGTAATAATTTGACATTTAGGTACTGAACACGATTTAAGATAGTAGATTATCTTAAATTAATGAATAATTATCTTAAATCGCAGTACTGAACAAAACGAATAACATAAACCAGCTGATAAGTGATACCTAACATTAAGCGAAAGTTTAATATGGTACCGCATAGGTAAATACTAAAATACAACATCGGTAGGTACTTACTATTACCTATTACAATTATTTGTAAATTCAATGGTTATCAATCTGAAATGTGTTTAAAAATTTAAAAATTTAATAACTTATCTAGGTACACCAATACAAAATAACTGTTATTTTACACTTTTATAATTGTAACGAATATGTTCATAGATAGGTATCTATTAAGTTCACTTTATTTAATTCGACTACTCAGGTAATTATAAAATCAAACAAAGCTTGAGAAAAAAAAACATTTTGTAATATTATGTGTTTAAAAACTCCCCCTAAAAATAAATAATTACCTAAATGGACTTGTACCAATTCACGTTTATTTTACACGATTCATAATATTAATACCTACCATAATAAATTAAAAATTGTCATTATAAATCACAAAATAACACTTGTGCTTTTTTTTTATTATTTATTTATAAAAAATATTTACAATCCATATACCTACACAATAGTCAATAATAATTATACAATGAATATTACAGAGGCGGTTTGAGTATACTGTTTTTGGTGCACTGCGCCACCAATATATTTTAGACGGGTGGGGGGTTATTGGAGTTTTCAGGGAGTTATTCATAGTAAATTATGAATAAAAATATTTTACATTAAATCGTTACTATTTAGGCAGACTTATTTATGTACCCTACGCCCTACAGCTAAAAACCACGATAATGATAGTGAGATAATACTTAATAGAACTAAGCATACAACTTACAACTTAATACTAATATTACTATATAACGTTTTTGAAATGATTTTCGTTATCATTATTATTGTAGATTTATTAATAGAAAACTGCGGCTTATCGTATGGGTATATATTTATTTGTTATTTAGAGGTTGTGGTGGGGGTGGGTGGGTGTGTATATTATATTGTCTTAATGTCTTGCACCACTAAGTACAATACTAATCTAAATATCTAATACATATCTCTGATGAATAAAGATGTTAACATTTGAGACATTTGAGTACTAGACGTGGCAGCAGGGCCTGATTAAGGAGTTGGTCACCAGTAGGCTAGGGTTGATTTGGCGCCCCTATGAATGATCGGAGTGGTTGGAGGGTAAAACGAGGATTAAGAAAACGTAAAAACAACAGACTTTTTTTGTTTAAAATAAAACGTGTTTTATATTTAATAAAATTATATACAAAAGCATTTAAAAAATTTTAATTTATGATTGAACTAAATATTATTCATTTTAAAAAGTTTTTTCATTGATTTTAACCCTGCGAAAGACTATTAGCACTAGTAGACGGCATCGCCACTTGAATTTCACTTTTGTTTTTGCTACTTTCAACCAGAACACTCTTCACTGAGGCATCTAATAATGATTCAGAATCAGAAGTCATTATTAGACGTTGTTTTAGATTTACTAAAAAACGAATCAAGTGAAGGCATTTTTTTCAAAATTGCATTTTCCCGCTCACTACGCTCTCGAGCCCTTTTTCGATACTCGGAACCACTTGGTTTTTTATTTTCACTCATATTAATAAGCTGTTTGTAAATTGTATTAAAAAATATACCAATAAAATGTACGTACGCACACGTAACAATTTTTTTTTTTTAAGTATATATTATGCAAAAATTCTACATTCGTAAAAAAAATTTTTGTGGCGCCCCCAATTGATCGATTGGCGCCCTAGACTGTAGCCAGTGGTCGGGACGCTACTGTTTTTTTGCAGCACGCTAACGCTACTGCTACTCCCCCCCAAAAGTAGCTCGCTATCGCTAAAGCTACTTTGTTTTTAAATTTAGTGCGCTACTTTTAACGCTATTGTTTAAATGTAGCGCGCTACTTTTTCGCTACATTTTTTTGATTTATTTATATAATATTCACTTGAGTAATTGGTCATTATTTGTTAATTCCTACCACTACTTTCTTGTATTTTTGGAAGACAGGTTTATTCAATGTATTTTATGTATTTTTGTAACAAAAATCAAAACAAATAAAAACGTTTTATTGAAAATTGCCAATAATTAGTAGTTTGTACTGATTAGACATTCGGTCACTGGGAGAAAAGACTTCACACAGTAAGGGGATGAGTGATTACTGATTACAAAGAATTTTGATTTGCTAAACATTTTTTTTTTTTAAAGTTGATGGCAAGCATGGATCTAGAACATCTTACGTTCCGCTGTATAGTGTAAGTGTCAAGTGGACTTTGTCGTTGAGTAGGTCATTGTGATGGAAGTGTTAAATCTGAATTCAGTGATACAAAGAATCTAAAACACTGTTACCTAATATTGTAATAATGCACTTATGATTATAGTCTTATCTATAATCTATGATTGCTGATTAGTCCGGTCCGTGTTAAACTTAAACCCGAAAAAATCAAAAATACACTCATCTAGTCATCTTAATTAAATAAATAAACATACACCATAATATTTAATTTTCATGAAATAGGTTAGAAGTAGCGATAGAATAATGAACATTTTCGCTACACTAACCGTAAATTTCTAGCGCGCTATAGTATTTCGCTACATTACTTATACTGTAGAGACGCTATGTTAATCGCTACAGCTAAAGTAGCGTGCTACTGTAGCGTCGCTACAATTAGCGCGCTACTCCCGACCACTGACTGTAGCCTACTTAGCCTATTGGTTAATCAGGCCCTGCGTGGCAGCATGAGAAAAGGGACACTAGTACACTACTTCCAACTTATCAACTTAGGAGAATAGGTATGTTTATGTACCTATATTATAATAAACTAAATACCTACCTAGTACCTACTAATTAATAGATCATGTGGCCATTCATGTTTCAGTTTACGGAAACGGTTGTCAGGCAATGTGTGAGAAGAAAATTTAGATATAAAGGGGATTTGTGTGATTGAAGGAGTTTTTATGAAATTTGTTATAGTGATAGGAAGCAAGCGTGGAATGTAATTTAATTAAATAAGCAATCTATAACATTAATATAATATAATAAAAATAATGTATATATTATATAGTAATATGAAAATTAAATCTATAATCTATTCATGGTAAAATGGTATAATTTAAGCTAGGTACCTATAATGAGTAATGATAATTAAGATCCCTTTATTCCATAAACCTTTAAAAATGATTCAAATTGTACTTCTTATAAACAATTAGAAATCAAGTTGTATGCAATCAATTCACATATTTTATTTTACACAATACCTACCTGTTCATTAAAATATTATGAAAACTGTAATAAATTACAAATTTTCATAGTAAATCACAAAATAACACTTGTGCTGAATACTATTTTCCTAATAGTTATTTACATATTAACATTTGGTCATTGTATAAATATAAAATGGAATGTAATAAATTTAATTAAATGAGTAATATGTATAATGTATATATTATATAATAATATCTGTCCTGCCCAGTGTTGCCAAAGATTTGTTTGTTCATAAATATATTTGTAAAAAATATTTATGCAATATTTCTACTAATTGCAATAAACACCTAGGTATAATATGAATATATGATATACAACCAATGGCAAACAATTAAAAAAAAACAAAAAACATTCATGTGTGAGCCATCCTTTAGCTACCTACAGAAGTTGAAAAAAAAGATATAATCTACTAACTTACTAAATCTCAAGAATTCTATTGATATAAATTTATTGAAAACAGTCCAGTAGTATTTGATTCTTTTTCTTCCTGTTTAAACCAACAGCAGAGGGCACTTTGTGAACAATGCTTCTCCTCTGCTACCATCGTTTTATCAATGTTTAGACAATGTTACATACAATATACCCTACAGTAGTTTTTGAGTTTATTGACTTCAGATGAACAAACATCCATTCATAGTTATTAGTTGTATAACCAGACTTCAAGAGTGAAGATATGAAAAAACATAAAATATAGCGCTATATGAGTGAATCTTGGTTTTTGTGTAAATCAGTTCATGGGCAAAATGGGATCAGTATACTTCGCACTAGTTTTATGAACTCATTTGACCGAAATTGACAATACCCTGTAGCGGATTGGATAATATATAGCACATCATGGTATAAATCAAACGTAATTCGAACTACTCTCTAGGCTTTCCTGACATCTCCTAAAACAATTTGAAATTATAAATAATAATAATAATAATAAATAAAGTTCACTTAAATAATTTGAATAAATAACATATTTTTGAGTAGTTTTTGATAGATAAATTACATCAACTGTGCGGCTGTGCATTATAAATGTATAATACATGTAAACTATGGTAGATCACTGACAACACCATTAGAACCAGAACATTCTAATATAAACTGGTGAGAATTAAGAGAACCACCGTCAAACTAAAAAATGTAAGCATTCTTACAGTCCCAAAAGGTGATGATAGAAAGAAAAAAATGTCTTAAAAAACACATCATTGTAAAATCAATACATTCATCGTTCAGAATCTCAAATATTTAATATAATAATCAAAATAATATAATAAACATTGAATAAATTAGTAATAAATACATTTTAAATAAGTGTACAACATATTTTGGTGTGTGATCCTGTCACCCTACATTAAATAAAATTATACACATTAATATATTATTATATGAAATACAATTAATAAAAAAACCCTTTAATGCAATAAATCTTATAGCATCAATCAAAAACATTTAAATATTTCACTTATCTTTAGTATTTCTGCCTAAATAGCTTTCAGATATTTCTTTTGCAGCCACATTCGTTCTCAATGCAGCTGGCACACCATTGTGACTTAAATATAACGAACCAGCCAACAAACTACGCCCAGTAGAAGCTAACTGCTCACAGACTAATCGGCAATTTTTTCCACTATTTCCAGCTAATGCTCGGCTTATAAGATTGTTCATCATCTCTTCACATTCAGCTAATTGTTCTACTAGACCATATTCAAGAATAGTGTCCAATACCAAATCAGGCAGTACCTTAACATAATATTTATATCAGTAAATTATATTATACCCTAGGCAAATACTTACATGGTTAGTTTGAAAATAACTTATAGCAGCTGCTTCTACAGCACTTTCACCAGATAATAAATACAACAAATAAAGTAAAGTAATGTTCACATTTGGAATACTACTAAAATCTTCTAATTCCTGTAAAAGTTACATAGACATTTAATATTATGATTAAGTTTAAATTGTTCTCAATCTAATAAAACTAAAAAGTGTAATTATATTAAAGATATAACTACCTGTTTAGTAAAATTGTGTTTACTACAGGTATATTTCAATACAGATACTGAAACTCGAAACTCAT